CTCATCTGACTCTAGCACCATCAACTCGACAGTTAAAACTGTCACAAGCTAGTCAAGCAACTTCACATCAACATAATTCATCCATAAATCCTAGATCAACATAGATCAACCATATAAATCCAAATCCCAAGGTTTTTTCTAGATCAACCATGACCATCCATGATCAACCTTTAAAAAGCCATCATCTACCCATAGGTTTTTCCGCTTTCCGCCCCCCGGTGGATCCCGTCCTGTCGGATCCGTGACGTTGACGCCCGCGAGGCGCCAGGCGCTGCAGGTGCTGGTGCCGTTCTGCGCCGCATCGCAAGAGGAGAGCCGCGCCTAGCGGGGCGGCGCCTGGGGTGCCTGGGAACTCCTATGGGAACTAAGTGAATAGTGATATTTCATGGTGGTTTCATGGTGGTTTCATGGTGGTTTCATGGTGTTTTATAATAGTGATGTAATGATGTGATTTGATGGGGATTTGATGGATTTGATGGGGTTTAATGGGGGTAAAGCAATGCCATAAACCAGCCATGACTGGGAATGGTTTATAAATATATATATATATATATGTATACATATATCGCCTATGTTTATGGTGACTGGGGGATGGTTTATGGCATTGTTTTACCCACATTAGTGATACAGTGGATTCACGAAATCCTGCACCAGTTGGCAACCATTAGGTAACTATGAAATACTGTAAATAATGGGATTATAAGGGGATAAACCATATACGAACTGATGCAGGATTTCTTCCACAGTATGTCATGGTGATTTCATGGTGATTTCATGGTGATTTCATGCCATTTTTGATGGGATTGGGTTTCATGGTGGTAAACTGGGATGTTAAAAATTGGGGCAACTGTGATCAACTCTGTAAGGCAATGGGAATTTCAGGACCCTAAAAATGTCCCTGACATTCCCTGAGATTTTCCACTAGAAATAGAAGATTTACCAATTCACAAGGGGGATTTTAACTATAGCTATTTTAATAGAGGGTGACCTCTCTATTAAGAGAGAATCAAGTTCATAAACTCCCACTATATTGACATGATATTGTTTTTGTTTCTTACTCTTCTATGTTTTTTGGGTGTTACGAGTCCTATATTGTTGGTAGCAGTTCTTCAACTAAAGTTGATATAGTTGAATAACATGTAACATGTAGTTGATTCGTACAGTAGTTTTGTGGTTTATAAAGTTGATATAATATAAAGTCAAGTATGTCCACGATAATTCAACTGTATTTATATCAGCTATATCAATCACAAAAATAAGGGAATAAGGGGTATGTCAATGCATACGGGACATGTTTGAAATTTTACTGTTGAAACCAGGGTTGCTACGTTTGAATCTAAAGGATCCCTTCAGGTGTTCCATTTCACCAATTCTGGGAGTATGAGGCCCCAACTCTGGACATACAGATGGATAGTAGCACAAGTGGGGCATGACATCAAAACAATCTAAAATTGACCAAGTATAAATTATCTAATTACATGGGGTTGTCAGACTAATTAGCTGACCTAATTATTTGCAGTTAATTATCTATTAATTAAATAGTATATAGTTTAGATATCTAATAAAAATTATCTAATTGTCCTTAAGGATATTACATACTCGACTATGAGAATTACCCCGATATGGAGAGTTGCTGACATCCCCCATGTGGATGTCAGAAAACCCCATTACCGACTCCAGGAACGTCGCAGTCAGGTCCGTTCAATCAAACACAATAGTTGTTGATTGAAACGATATCATTTAACAGTTATCATGGCTTAACAGTTATTACTGTTTGTGCTATAGTTAGCTTAAAATATGGTATTGTAAATTATAAATGCCATTATCATATTGTATCACCATATATCACCATCAAAACCCTCATTGAGACCATGATATCCCCATTGTATCCCAAATGATCGGTATTCAAGGTGTTTTTCCCACTGCCCATTGTATAACTGTGTAGCCTTCGGTATACTTTGATATAGCTATGGGAAATCACCTGGCTAGATGATGTGCCTGTTGAAAATCATGATCTTCCATAGGTAAATTGCCAGAGGGCACTATCAAATAGTTCTCCCATTACAGTACATCCCCCCAATTCTTAAGACTTATCACCATGTATTTCAGTTCTATCCCTATTACACCACCATGTAAGTAGAAGGTTCCCACTGTATCTGACTGGAACATAATTCGTGATTCACTAACCTGGAAACAGCTGAAATAAGGCCAATTTGGGATAGTTACAGTTACCTCAATCCTAACCATCATTCCAGTGACAGAAAACAGTGAGGTCACTACAATTCATCCAGATTGTTGGTTATTGCTTGTGAAGCCATTGTATTAATGATATTTAATGATTAATGATTATATCCCATCCTATCCATGTGTAGATTATTTCCCATCTAACTTCCAATATTGAATATTGTCCATTATATCCCCATTGATGTCCCTATCTGTACATCATTTTCCCAGTCCGGTATCCTCCGAAACGGAAAAACAAGATGTAAAAAAATATTTCCAGGAATAGTTCAATGATATTTACCTTGGAGAAAAAAAAACATGTTTCCAACAAATTATATATATATATTCAATGAATCTAATAATATCATATCCCCATAGTTGTTCCATGTATACCCCCCACCCAAAAATCTAGACATATTTAAACATCACGGCATGGTGGCCACAGTTTGTTTTTGTTTTTTAACTAATGTGGGTAAAGCAATAATAAACCATCCCCCAAATCACCATAAATAATTAGGTGGTAATTATAAACCATTCCCAGTCATGGGTGGTTTATTTATGGCATGGTAGTTTTACCCACATTATATAGCCATGGAAGCCGTGGCCCATTTATAGATGTTTTACCTATTAATAGCATGGTGGATCTTTCCATGGCTATGTTAGTCATAACCAGAGGATATATATATAATATATACTAATCCAATATTATTGTGATATAAACAACACTATACATGTTATAATACATGTATTATATAATTATTTCAATATAATCCTATATATATATATACATATACAATTATACATATACCATCCGATAATCCATGGCAATTGGTCCCATGATCCCCAGCTGGCCGGCCCCGTGGCCTCCTTTGGACGTTGCTCCCCCAGCACGGCGCGGAGGATGAAGGCGGAGGCCGAGGCGGAGAGCAACGCTAAAAGGATGCCACCTGGCGTCGTCCAGGAAGTCCCTGGAGGGATGCCAGCAAATGGTGTTTAATGTTGTTTACTGGTGTTTTAATGGTGGTTGAATGGTGTTTAATGGTGTTTTAATGGTGGTTGAATGGTGGTTGAATGGTGGTTTAATGGTGTTTAATGGTGTTTACTGGTGTTTAATGGTGGTTGAATGGTGTCATAATTGTGTTTTAATGCTGTTTCTATGTGTTTTTCCATCTAATGAACATTTAATGAGTGAATGGTTTTGGTAATGGTGTTTAATTGTATTTTTTTTGTGTGGTTGCTTTTAATGGTGTTTAATGGTGGATGTGCGTTCTTATTTACACTGCGTTGTTTTTTTCATTTATACCCAAAAATTGAATTTTACAATTCTAACATGGAGATAAAAAAAAAAACACATACACACACAGACACACACATATATATATAATATAATGGGTTTGTAACCAATGATTTGCCCGCCGATGTCATGGGTTTGTAACCAATGATTTGCCCGCCAATGTCATCAAACATATCAAACATATCAAGGGGAAGTCCTTGAACTAGCTGTGGAGGTTTATAGCTAGCAAAATCAACTATAAATGGGATATTTTCCAGCAAGCCACGTTTGATTACCGGGTATCTGGAAAACGGCCAGCAAAAACTTGGCTGAAAAACCTGGAACTCATGGGATTCAACCAGTAAACATGGTGATTTTTTGGTGCGAAAATGGAGGGATTAGCCATTTTCGCAACGAGAATTTCACCATATTTCACCATCCAAAGTTTGATGTTTAGTCACTTTAGTCACTTTAGTCCTCAAAATGCGGTTTTTCTTCTCAAGTTCGGGTGGGGCAGCTCACTTTTCCGGTGAATTCCTCGCGGTTCCGCGGCTCCCAAGCACCACTCTGTGGTGTTGAGCACCAGAAGTCTGCCCGGGCTTCAGCGGCATCCTGATGTCAATTTGAACAGATGTACGTTGTTTTTTTTGTTTAACTTAGGGGGGCGCATACAAAGCAAAACTATAGATTCCTCTTAAATGGTGGTTCAAATGGTAAATTACAAAATCATCTTCAGCAAATCCAGAATCTACTTTAACACAACTCTTGATTGCTAGGAGGACAGGACTATTTTGTGATCCAATGTACCTCTGTCTCTCTCTCTCTTTTTCTCAGTATGTTTGTAAATATATATATATATACAATATATATATATCTTGATGTGTATGTAACTGTAAGTAACTACAAAAAGCATCAACAAATTACAACAGGTTATATGAATTGCCTGTGTACTTGGACCAGGATTGCTCAAGTTTCTGCCATTCAATCTCCCTTCTGCGCTTCGCAAATAAAAACAAATTGAAATGTTCAACAATGAGATGATATCCACAACGTGTTTTGCATCCTTGTGGATGTCCGACGTTCTTTCACACTCTTTGTTCATCGGTGCTTTTTTTCCGACCCAGTGATGCGAACGAAGGCCGTGCAGCGGAGTCTCCCATTCAGGAGCCCGCCAAAAAACTACTACTGTATGGTACGCAGGTGGGCCAAAGCGTGCACCATGCTGGAAGAGGTCAAAAACAGCACTCGAGGAGTCGACGAGTGGGCGATGGGCTCCTACTAAAGTGAGGTGCAACAAAAAGGACTTATCATTGGATGAAAACAGGGATACCAATGGATATGAGGCGGCTCTAGTATCCTAATTTAATATGGTAAGAGTTATAAACATATAAATCAACAAACATGGCCCCAAGATCCAAGCTAACAATGAGCACAAAATGGGGGGCCATGTTTTTTATGTTCATCAAGTGGCTCCTGGTTATTACCACCTTGCTTTAAGTACTTAGTTCACCCACTGAAAAGACATTAGGAGCCCATGCAGTAGAAGCTCGGAAGCTTCGACTGGCTGAACCTGGGCCACAGGCGGAGCGGGGCCAGGGGTCGTTATCACCATCCAGTCAAAAATCTGTTCTTGGGAATCAAACATCTATAAACATCTCAGTTCTTGGGAATCAACCATCTATTTAAAAAAAACGTCAGTTTTTAGCTTGCAGACTTTGGCCATCTTGAATCTTGAGAAACATGTCATCCAAACTGATGTGCCCAAATGTTGACCACCATTTTCAGCCATACCCCCAATCCAAGGATGTACCAAAAAGAGAAAAAAAGGGCAGCCGCAGGGATGATCTACTTCCACCCATCGATCCCAAGTGATGAGTTGCTGGCCGCGCATTGTCCCAACAAAACAACTCATTGTCCCAACGCTGTTGCTTTCAAAATACGAACGAACAGCGATTCGGGTGATTCAAAGCCAAAAAAAGGAACGTGATTCTCCTATGAAATGTGCCTAGCAGAATCAAGTCACCCAATGCTGACTTCCAAGAATACCCCATTTACTCTCTCAGAATCAAGAATGGCTGGAAAATTCCCCACTCATGGATGATTTTCCAAGCTAGAAACCTTTATTTCATAGCTGATGTCCCATCAAAACCTCCATTTATTGATGATTTTCCCAGCATTTTCCCCGGATTTTAAAGTTGATGTTTCAATTGACATCTACAATTATAATTATAGATCATTTTCCCATTCAAAAAGCTGCCCAGCGCTGCCCCTGCCGCACATCTTCCCCGCCGGGCTGCGCCAAAGACTGCGTCACATCATCGTGGGAATCCGTCGGATGCTCCGATAATAGTCACCTGGGGGTACTGGAAATGGTTGTGACTATTAATAGGTGATATATATATATGATTTATATGATTTAATAGATGATTTTTCCATGTTTGTGATGGGATATTCAATGGGAAAATCATCTATAAATGGAGGTTGCTAGCTGGGAAAATCATCTATAAATGGAAGTTTCTAGCTGGGAACATCATCTATAAATGGGGATTTAATGGCAATATAATATATCAGAATTAATATCATATAATGGGATATGATATAAGTGTACCTTTCAGAATATGAAAGGTGGGGTTGTCTGAAAATGGTAACCCTGAAAATGGCCTTTTGAATGGGGAATCATACTACAGTAACACATTGGAATTGGGGGTACCATATCATCAGACAAACTCAAAAACTCCCAACTACCCTCTGGTAATTTGTTACATAGCTATTGAAAATGACCATTTATAGTGGATTTTCCCATTAAAAATGGTGATGTTCCATAGTTATGTTAAATTACCAGAGGGTAGATGGAATAGACAACTTGTCACAACTTGTCACAACTTGTCCCATACCAAGATTCTTGACACCTTCTCTTTCTCTCTCTCTCTCTCTGTGTTTGTTATGGGCAACTGCAGGGACTGCCACAACGAAGTTCATGCAAAGGAGGCGACTGATAGAATTCTCAGGCTGCTCATTGTCAAAGTGCCGTTTGAAGAAGTCGCAGAACCTTAAGAGTTTCAGCTGAGGTGAGATTTCTCCTTTACATTCCTTTACCACAAAGTATCCAGCACAACCAAACGGCGACACTTTCCCGCACTCGTTTTAAACTTTGAAATATTGTGTATATATGTATATATATATATATATATATGTGGCCACAAAATAATACAGATTATACTATATAAATCTTGTATAATGCATAGCCACTGCATGGGATCCCAAAATGAAGACATGCAGTACTAAACCAAGGTTTTGTTTGGGGGTATCTACCGTAAAACAAAGGGAACACATTGGTTGGGAAAACGTCACCACAACCTCCAACCATCAACCAAGTCAGTATGATGAGTTCGATTCATTGTTCCATGGTCAAGTCTCTTGATGCGAAAGAATGCTGAATTTGTTTGGAATTGTTAATTGATCGACTCCCGATGTCCTGTTGATTCACCAAATAATTATCTTTGATGGGTTTTATCCATGAATGTTCCGTCTCATCAATGGCTGACTCAGTTGGACGCCATCACACCAACCCCATGAGAACGGGAGTTTCACCAACAAAACAAGCTGTTGTGATAAAACTGCATTTTCACAACCAAAATTGATCCAATGAACCCAGGGACAGTACGGTAATACTAGAAATCAATGTAAATCATTACATCACGAACCCCAATCCTTTTGCAAAGCCTCAAATAACGATTCATCCGCCAACATCTTGGGTGTCAGAATAGGGACGCACAGCAGTTCGGAACCCACAAACCCACATTCATTTGCGATTGTGGGAAAGATGATGATAAACGGCAAGGTTTTGGGGCAGTGTTTTGGACAAGCCCATTTTTGAAGTTGGTGGTTTAACATGTTTCAACACTTCAACACCCCATTTTTGGTCAAATTCTCAAATCTAGGTGGCAAACGCCACTATGCTTGGCTCATCTTTGGATCAAAGTCAATGGCCGTTTCAGGGATCCTTGAATAAGAGGTACCTATACCATTTTAGGGCTTATTTTCAGGGAATCTCAATATGGCTTTTATGGTTTCTATGGATTTATATGCTACAATACCGCCTAAGATACCTGACACATCCTGACACTCCGACTCTTAGCATAGTTACCCATGATATCCATCATCTCACCATATCACCGTTAAGTCCCATGAAATAGCAGTAACTCGAGTTAACATAGAGGCGCCTCATCCAGGGACTTCAATCCCCATGGAAATCCCCAAGTTGTTTTCCACCATGAAATCACCATCAAATGGGGCCGATCCAAGGGCTCCGTCAATGGGAGATCCAATCAATGGGAGATCTCCAGGATCCTAAAATGGAGGTACTGTACCATATAAGACCATATTTTGCTGGGATATTCCCTGAAATTTAGGCCTTATATAGGCCTTATATATGGTAGGTACCTCCAATTTAGGTTCCTGCAATGGCCATTGATCCAAGGGGCGCTTCCAAGTTCAATTCGCCTTCTCCTCCACGGTCCGCATCACGCCACAAGGCACCGATGCGCTCCGCGGACAAGTTCTGGCCGGAGGGCACCTGCAGCCATCCGACTGGGGATGGTGACCACCCATAAAAATGGTGACGACTGGGGATGGTTGATGAAATTGGGCTTACCACATGAGTAAGATTTGGGTTTGCTATTTTTTTGGTCTGTTCGAACAATTCATTGAATTGGAAACCCATGTTTACCGATTACCTTGTCTTTTGGGGTACCTTTTTGCAGGGCTATCCCCATTTTTTTGGTGGTCAAAAAGGGTGAAAGGAAAAACCCTACAGCAAACTCTTTACTTTGCCAGTCAAGTTTTTATTTGTTGGGCTTGAACGCTTCTGGCATGGATGGATTGCGCTTCAGCTTTTTATAAGTTTAATTCGAAACCTATACAAGAAAAAGTAGGGACAAGGGACAAGCGTAGTTCCAGCTGGACTGCCATACTTAGACTTGCATGACAAGAATTGTGAGGAAGCTATATATGCATGTGTATATATTTATATATATGTGTGTGTGTGTGTCTGTTTGTGTGTGCTAATTTCAACATAGAGTGAATCACTTGTGATTGATGATTTCTACGTACTCAAAAACCCATAGGCACGCCGTCATTTGAGAAACTATATATATATAAGTATATAAATATATAATTATATATATATATATTAATATATATGTACATAAATTTCTCTCTCTCTCTCTCTGCGTGTGAGTGTGTGTGTGTGTGTGCCTAACTTGCATATCGATATTGGTGGGTTGTTTTTAATTTTTGTTGAGCAAATCTACAATGCAGCCATCCTCATGGCCTTCAGCAAATCATTCAGCAAACACTCAAACTCCTCGATGTCGATCGCCTGGATTTCAGCAAAAATTCAGCGTCGTGCGAGGATGGAAACTGCCAAGGCAGTCCACACCCAATGCGGCTGAGAAACACCGCTGCCATCCTGGAAACAAGCATGGTAAACCCAAAACAAATCCTACCTTTTGGGCTTGGTTAATGGTTTATATCACCCTACTTGTAGTATCTTGTAGTCATATTGGGGATGGTTCACAATTGGCTTCGCCACAGTAAGTATGAAAACCACAACAACACTCCCCCAACAAGTGCGGCGTGCTGATGTGCACAGTGGTGAGATCATGTCCCACCTCATCATACTTATCAAAGGCGTGTTTGTATCGCTCAAGTTCGATGTAGTCCACTCCAAGCCTAATCCAACATCGATTCATATCGATTCAGGTACCGCTGGAGTTCAACAAACAGCAAAAATCCACAGTTTCAGTAAAAAATCCACAGTTTCAGTAATTATACAGGATGGTGCCCCCCAGTTATAAGTTGGTTTATAAACCCCATTAACTATAGTTATATCTACCATAAACCATAGTTATGGGAGTTATAAACCAACTTAGCTAACTATGGGGCACCACCTTGTAGGAACATCATCTCAAAACTTGGGACTGCATCTGCTCAGGCTCAAGCTTGCGCGCTAAATCTCGCTGTGGGAGATCCTCCTGGAAACTTGGAAAGAAACCACCGTTTCTCACTACTCATGGGGTCTAATGCAGAAAGTCTACAGCAATTCTGCACAGAAAACGGAGACTTTGAAAATGTTGAAGTGAACAAGAGCGAACTGATTGTATCCTTGCCGCAGCAAGTTCCTGGGAACCGTCTGACCCCAGCGCTTAAACGCTTCGGCCTGCCTTTGTCACGCAGAAGTATTGGGAAAAGCCAAAGGCAGAAAACCACATGACGAACCTCAGATGGTCTGAAAATGGGGAATGGGATGGATGTGTTTTCCAGAATATCGCCATTGAAAACTATAAGGTGAGGCGCCCCCCAGATTGCTAAGCTGACCTATAATTTGGTTAACTATAACTACTGGGGGGTTCACCTTTTAGGGAACATGACTGGAAAACTCAAGCTGGTAGCTCAGGGCTCTCTCCATTCATCACTGGATAGGACGTTTGAAAAATGTGAAACAATGGGGTGTTGGCTTTTGAGATCCACCTGAAACACAGTGGGAAGGCGCACTTCAGACATCCCATGGTAGGCCCTACAGGGAAAGGTCAAGCTAGGGCACTGCGTCCTTTTTCATCCATCCCCATTTTCCAGAGACACATGTGATGCACTTGGCAATTCGGCCCTCCGCTGCTGGTTGGCTAGTGGTGTTTCATCAGGAGCAGTTCAGTGAATGGGAAATTCACAGGAAACCCCCAGCCAGCGAATCCCGTCCATTGCTCAGTGATGATAGTTGGTTCCAAGCTGGACTTTTTTTTTTGCTGAATCCGTTGGCTATATGAAATCATGCGCACTCTACAGAACCCACAGACCCAAACAAAGTGGGCCTTATTAGCGCTTACTAACACCCCCATTGCTTGGGGTGTATCTTTGCATATCCACCTGGAATAAAAAGTGGCTCCCCCACATCCAAGTAGGTTTATCGTCCTTTTCCTTCGACTTGCCATAAATTTCGGCCCCTTCACGTTTTTTGAAACATGTTTCTCTGGACGTCCAATTTGGGTGTGTCTGAGGGAAAAATAAACATCCCCAAATCCCATGGTTTATCATCATTTTGGACACCTAAATATCATATCAAGCTGGTCATATCTCCATCTGTATCCCCATTAATTGATGGTATCTTTTCTGTTTAATCCACAGAAAATTCACATTAAATCCACACTATCCCCATTGCATCGCTCCCCCTAATATTGAACACACCCGAGAAACCATATAGGGGATGAAATCACAGCAAAATGGGGACCTTGTCAAATGGGGGTGTTCAAAACATGAATGGGGGATGGGGTCATATATGATATCAGTAAATTATATTACTTCATATTACTTCCCTATATGCCCCCTGGTAATCAAACCTGTCAATGGAGAATCCTCCATTTAGAGTTTCATTTATATAAAGATGCATTTAAAATCATTTAAAGATGATTTCCCCAATTCAAACACCATTTCTGGTCCGGTGTTTTTCCCCAATTTTGCTGGATTTTCCCTTTGTCCATGATTCATCCATCCGCCCGAGCGTCTCCACACAGTCGATGCCACCGTTCTTGTCGAAGTCGGCTTGTCGAAAGGCTTCCGACACAAACCTGGCAGGCCAGGTGCAGATCAGGACCCGTAAAATGAAGGCTTTCACCATGAAAAATCATGATTTAATGCGGATTTACATGGCCTCTTTTTTTGCTGTTTAACCATAACATGGAGGGTTGCATCATGTATATCATGGGGATAATATATAGGATCTATATAGGATCTATATGGGATCTATATCACCTTACTGGGGGGTGGCCAGGGGTGACTTTCATGACGGTAAAAAAACATGGGATTTTTTCAGCCCAGAAACCGCCGATCGAGCTGCTCCACCGAGTCAACGCCGGCCCTGGATGGGGAAAACCCATCCAAAACAGGGTTTTGCTCCCAAGAGATCTCAGAACCTTTTGGTGGAAAAAAGATGAAAGATGATGACATTAAATAGGATTAAATAATATTAAATATATAAAATCAGCCCTTTCCATCCATGTCCACCCTTGCGGCCAGTTGGTTGGAGCAACCCTGCAGAATGGGGCTGCAGATGGGATGGATTGATGGTGCAAATGGATGAATCTTGGGTTTTAATTGGGATGATCCAATGGACGAATTGCTCTGAAAAGCCCAGCGCGCTATAAAGTTGGCCATATCTACTGCTTGACCCTGTGGCAACATTGCAATGCAAAATCACAATGTGGAGCTTCAAAGCAAGATGTAAATCAAAATTTTCAACCAAAGCCGCTTAAAGCCGCTAATATGACATTCACACTATAAAGAGTTCAACTCCACACTATCCTTTTAGACATGTTTTCTCCACATGAATTGCGTTTTTGTAGATGTGTTTATGCTCCTCGGTGAAGTTTGCGGCCAAAGCTCATCTCACAGAGCACCTTGGTGAAATTCTTCATGTCGAACCTGAGCGATTCCCCGGCGGCTTCATCTGGATTTCAACGGCTCCCTGGTATCTTTGGCTAGTAATGGCTAAAAATGATTAAAAACGATCAATGACCAGTAATGGTTTCTTTGCATATAGGTATTCAATTTCAAGATTTTTCTGGTTGCAAGAAGTTTGTACATGTATATTATTCTGCGACGTTCAATTGCGTCATTCAAATACACAAATATAGCACAATTACATCTATCTACCAAACTATCTATCCAATCCAATCCAATCCTATCCTATCCTATCCTTTTGTATCTAATCCATCCAATCCATCTAATCCAACCCTTCTATATATTGTTGGAGATGGCAGATATAGACCCTTTATGCATTTTGTTTTACAAAGTAGACCCATTATTGATTTTTTCTACATGTTTTTTTTTTTTATGTGGTGGGCAAAATTACACCTGTATTTGTGTCATTTTACAGATCAAATCCATTATTTACTCTTTTACACACCCTGTTTTGACCTGTATGAGAGAGGTGCAAAAATTGTGGTAAGAGTAAGAGTGGAAAACTATGATGTCATGTTGGGCAAACGTTAAGTTATGCGGGTATCTATCTACCTACCTACCTACCTACCTATCTATCTATATATCTATCTATCTCTCTCTCTCTCTCTCTTTCTCTCTCCCACTCTCTGTCCTGTCCTGTCCTGTCATGCCATGCCATGCCATGTCATGTCATGTCATGTGATGTCATGTCATGTCATGTCCTGTCCTGTCCTGTCATTTTTTTGTCTGTCTGAAATCACGCATGTACGGTATACACACTCAGATGGTCAAAGGGTGTGTTACAACTATATAATCCCATCGCCCATTCATCCCCCATTAATATGTTCAACACCTCCTTGTTATGGTCCCTTTTTGATGTGGTTTCATCCCCTACATCTTCTGGGGAAGCACCCCGCAACGGACATTGCCAAGCGGCTTCACTTCGAACAAGTTCTGTCCATCCTATGGCTATACCAAGTCTACGAGTTATTCGGAGCCGCCCGCCCACCGCACAGTGTTTTACCATAGACCGTTTGGTTCTGCCGCAGTTCTGCCAGTTGCCAAACATTTTTAAAAAAAAACGGTTTCTGCATGTTTCTGTCTAATGTCGCTGTTTCTGCGAACCATCTTGGCCCAGCGTCATATTCGGGAACGTGCTTCTTGAAGAACGCCAAGGACTGCTGCAAAACCTCGGGCCACATCGCTGGTTTCCCAGCCTGGTGATCAGTGGAGAAGATTTGAAGCCCATCAGTGCTGTGCTGCAATGATGATACTGCTATTTACTTATCTATTTACAAACGTATCATATACAGTACCAGTAGTACCGCACAAGGCGGTGGCGGAAGTTTCAAAAAAACGAAACCTATAGGAGGTTGGTTGTTGTGAATCACGGATGGCAGAGCGAAGCCACTGATGGATCGAAAGGTGATTGATGTCTCCTCTCTTTCTCTCTTTCTCTGATTATCTACCTACCTACCTACCTACCTATCCCATCCTATCCTATCCCATCCCATCCTATCCTATCCTATCCTATCCTATCTATCTATCCATCTGTCTATCTATCTTATCCTATCCTATCCTATCCTATCCTATCTATCTATCTATCTTATCTGAGTCTATCTATCTATCTGTCTGTCTATCTCGCTATCTATCTATCTCATCTGTCTATCTAAGTCTCTCTGTCTGTCTATCTACCTGTCTATCTGCAAGCTTGAAAACGAAGCTATTCTGCAAGACGTCCTCAGGTTTTGAACTTGACAATATCAAAAACGCGGCAAGTCTGCGACACTGCCTCATTTTTTGTTGACAACATCAAAAACGCAGCAATTCTGCGAGACATTCTCAATGTTTGAACTTGACAACGTCAAAAAAGCAGCGATTCTGCGAGACTTCTTCATTTTGCAAAGTTGACAACATCAAAACGAAGCAGTTCTACGAGACTTCATCAATTTTCGAAATTGATAATATAAAAGACGGTACAATTCTGCGAGACTTCCTTCAAAAATGGAAAGTTGAGTGCAGCGCTGACGGCCTCGTACCAATGCGTTGTGCGATTTTTCCACTCCACCTGTCTAAAGTACTGCGCATACCGCGAAAAATTGATGCCAGGTCATACGAAGTGCTGCACCTGTCACGCAAAATCATCTTAGCAAATCGACATATCTAATGCTCCAAAATGCAACCCCTCTCAGGAAATCAGCGCCCTGACCCCCTAACATCTCTGATGAACATGTCTTTTGTACTGCGCCTGCCAGGCGAAATGCATCTTCGCAGATAATCTTCAAATGTCCCACGCCTGCCATCGTTTCCAAAAATGCTACAAAACCCTCACGTTTTGCTCACTTTTGAGAAGGTGCACAATCCCCTGCGCCTGCCACGCGAAACGACATCTGAACGCCCAAAGTGGTCCGAACCCCTAGTGGCCCTAGTGTTTTTAACATGTTGACTTCGAAATGTGCTTCGCGAATCTTCGCGCCACAACGGCGTGCACTTTTTCGACATCTCAACTTCCAAAAGTGGTCCGAAGCTGAGGTGCTGCTTTGTACATTTTGACTTCGAAATGTGCTTCGCGCCAACGGCGTGCACTTTTTCATCTCTCATCTGGCCAGTGGCTCCGCACCCGCCGCTTTAGCGAGCCTACTTTTCGACCCTCCGGAGCCACAAATCATTGGAAAAACACAGTTCGCGACTTTCCTACCTTTTCGCGCATCTGCATTTTCTTTCTTCTGACTCTTTCTCTTCTCTCATCTTCTCTCTTCTACTCTTCTCTTCTCTCTGACTCTTCCCATCTCTGCTTTTAATCTGTCCATATTGTCGGAAGTTTGACTTCTAAACTTCCTTCGATCATATACACATATTTCATTATAGTTTCTATATGCACAATGCACACCACGTGTAAGATCTTGCGGGTGGGGTTAGAACTCTCTATCCTCGCCGCATCAACTGGTAGTTACCACCAAGTCGCACGTGTCACCCGATGCAAGAATCCACATATCATTATTTTCCAACTCCCAATTTGTAACTCGTATCGTATATAATTACGCGCCTATCTAAATATGCACAGACACACACACAGTATATATTAATCGTCATATAGAACCCCAAATGCCCCAATTTAAAATCTATTGACCCATAAATACCCATACGACAAAGGGTGAACCCAGCCCAAAAGAAGTAGTCATTTAGGTTTCAGGAGCCATTCTATCCCATTCTGCTGCCGCAACTTGGGGGTGCGTCGCAGTTAGTAAATGGATTATACCCCCAGTTATAGATGGAATATCATGAATATCCCCAGTGATATGTCGCTGATTATCCTAACCGGGATGACCGGTTACATCTTCATATAAAATATATATGGGTTATAAACCACACTATACATCACCATTGCATATATAGACAGTAACCCTATGCACCATTCGTGGTGCCGAAATCCTGCCGCAGAAACTGAGAGTGGCAGCCCCGTGTCACGCGCTAGCCACGCTTCGGAGCGGTGTTCGCGACTTGGACCTTTCGGCGCCAAGGTCAAGCGCAGGTCAGCCAGGTCGTTTTGGTTCACTGGGGTGCCAGGCTTTGAATGGGATGTTTATTGGGAACTCATATAGGAAAATCATCTATACATCTCTCTCTCTATATTATAATTATATATATACGTATTTATATATATATATGTGTGTGTATATGGTGATTCAGTGGGAATATAGAATGGGATATACAAGGGGATGTACAATGAGATATATCATGGGAACATGATATGATGGAAATTTAATGGGAATATCATGGAATGTATAATCAACCGTGTGATTTTTGGGTGTGTCTGAAAATGGGGTGTGCCATTCAAATAACATCACATAACGATTGAAATGGGAAATATTGCGATAAGACAGGGGAAAAATGGGGGTACCTATTTTCAAACTTGAGGCCGGGGGTGGATGACGAAAGCTAGCGGGGTAGGAGAAAGAAGGAAGGGAAGAGGTGAGTTGCGGAGGGACTGTCATCATCGTGTCGCGGCATTGTTCGTCCCAACGACGATGCAACAATGATATATTGATATATGATATATAACAATGATATATATGGGGGAGGGGGCAGGGGGGGGCCCTTTCGCGGGAAAAAACACGTGATGTCCTTGGGGAGCCCCGGAATACGTGCTAAAGCAAGAAGACTCTAGCGAGCTGACACTAGCTTTCGTGATAATGACAATAATTGCCAATAATGATAAAATGTAATTGAATAACGATGATGATGATGATGATGAATGATGAATGATGAATGATGAATGATGAATGATGAATGATGAATGATGAATGATGAATGATGAATGATGATGATGATGATGATGATGACGAGGATGATGATGATGATGATGATGATGACGATGACGATGACGATGACGATGACAATGACGAGGACGATGACGAGGACGACGACGACGACGACGACGACGACGACGACGAGGATGATGATGATGATGATGATGATGATGACGAGGACGAGGACGATGGAGAGGACGATGGAGAGGACGATGGAGAGGACGATGACGATGATGATGACGATGATGATGACGATGATGATGATGATGGTGGTGATGGTGGTGATGGTGGTGGTGGTGGGTGAGGGGGGGGGTCCCCCCCTTTCGCGTGAAAAATCACGTGATGTCCTTGAGCAGCCCCCCCAATACTTGCTAAAGCAAGAAGACTCCAGCTAGCTGACGCTAGCTTTCGTGACAAACCCAAAACCTTTGTATCTGAATTCTGGGTGAATGATCTTTATTCATCAACCTGAATGATTCAGCCACCCAGCTTCTAGTATTCTGGCCCATTCCTGAATGGTTCAGTCATTTGGGGATAGTTATATTCCCCTGCTACCTAACTTATCATGTATCCGGATCAATCATGCTCAGGGGGAAGACACTTCCAGAAAGTGGAAAGTTATTTAACCACTTTTCACCAAATGACTGAACTGATGTCGGCATGGAAGCCCACAGAATTAGATCTGAATATGATATGTTGGTTCGGATATGCGCATATGTACATATGAGCACCAGCAGTCACCTCAAATTCCTCTGAAGATGTGAGTTTTTCTGAAAACAGGCTGCACCCCAAAATCCATTGATCAATCTGGATAATCAGTGGTGTTCCCCAAATATACCCAAACCATTCGCTTTCCCATTGATAGTCATCCATTTTGGATGATTCTGGGGCACTTCCATTTTAGGACACCTCCATGAAAAAAGAGACTCCCAGTCATGGAGGCTTCCCAAGTCATGGGGTACGGTACCTCTAAATCATCCGTTTCTTTGGGCTTGTCCAATCTAAAGCATCCACTTAATGGGGTACCATGAATCACCATTAATACCCATTAATCACCACTCTTAACCACTACTGTATTTTTTTCACATGTAAAACACCATTGATCACCATTAATCACCATAAAAAAACAATCCATTTCTGGAACCCCCCGACGTCTGTTTTGATGGTCAAGGGACTCCGAGGCAGTCGCCGCGGCATGCGCTTGTATCCCTTCACCGGGGCGGACCTGGAAATCGCCCCAGCGGAGCTGAGCGGCTACCCGGCTAGCCTTAACCAGAGTAATTTTAATATTTCTAATGGGAAAATGACCCTTCATAGTTGATTTACCCGTTAAAACAGGTGTAAAAATGATGATTTTGACCGTTACTTGCTGGATTGGTTCAAGGGAAGACCGACACCGGAAACCATGGTGTTTACCATGAAATATGTGGAGTTCAACCGTCAATTTTCCCACACAAAACAATCCAATGAGTATTGGATCCAACCAATGGGGATATCACCCATGATCTTAGATCCAGCTTTGATGTTAGATTCGTATCGTGTTTGGATCGAACAAATGGGTATAACCATGTATACCAAGAGTTGAAGCAAAAAATATCCGGTTCGGAAGTGGAACAGTTGAAGCATGTTGAAGCAGTTTGTTACGAAGAATAAGTTCCTTACAGTAGTCCAATCTATCCATGGGAGTATGTGAACACAGACTGTATATATAGAGATCAACACAATCTAAATTTGATCCACTACAAATCCAGAGGTTGAGCCACCCCCTGACAAAATATATTCATGCCAGTTTGGGATAATCATCCCGTTTCTTTGGTGGAAAAAACCAGGTGCGAAACCACAAGCCAGATATGGGTACTCCCAAGAATCCATGAGACACTTGTGCCACATCCCCCCAGCTATAAACCTCTGGCTTTGCAATAAACCCCATTTTAATAAGCAACTTAGCTACTTAGGGCCGTTGGGGGGTATCACATTGAATGTGAATATAATTATATCATCTGGATAAGCCTTGGCCAGATCATAGATCCAATGAAAAATTGGATCTGTATCAACCATCATTGAAATTCATTGAATATTTACCGAATACCCCACTTGGTGATGGAGTGCGGGTTAGCAATCCCAACCTCGGAAACCACCAAAAGTTTAGGGGCCAATACATTCCACCAGGGTGAAGGGATGTTTTGTCAGCCTGTGAGTTTCGCCCTCCAAGTTTTGCCTACCACGAACATGTGCCACTATGGTTTCTGATTGGATTTGGGCATACAAAGCCTCCAATTTGAGTGTGTACTTGGGGGTGCAGCTCCAGTGAACTTAGTTCTAACATGCTCTAACATGTTCTAACCATAGTTGTGGCCCCAAATCCCAACTTCTGGGGGTTAGAATCCTACGGTCATCCCAAAAAAATCATCCATTTTTGTCACCAGCCCCCTGGCCGTAGACTCCACAAAAATCCCCTTCCTCTCCGGCAAGGTGCAGAGTCATCATCTGAGCCGCCTTCTTGCTTGAATGCCTAGATCCTGGCAAAATTCACAAGCTTGGTGGTGCCCCAGTGATGTGAATCATGTAAAAATCTTGGCCAAAGCCATGAAATGGTTGATATAACTGAAAAACCTACCATAAAACCATTGAAGAGTTAGATTGACCAACTTTAGCTGTTGAACAGCCTCACCTTTTCAGGAAGCCCTGGTTTCTGGTGAAGATGTTCCCATCCATTGACTCAGACTGTCTCTGATTGACGGCTTCCCATTTGGGGACACAACATGGGGTTCTCTGCAAATGTTGGGAAGCCTCCGTCCAAGAAAAAGCATGGTTGATGATGTTTTCCCCGATGAAGTTGGCATGTTGGGGTATACAACAGACAACCCAAGTTTCAGACAATCCCACACGGGTCATTTTCACATGTCAGTGATTTTGAGCCATTGTCATTGCGGAAAAAAAAACTCACAGATCAATCACTGCCAAAATAAACAGGACCATAGAACAACATATTGATACACATATTACATTATATATCTAATTGCGTATAAAATGGTGTTCCACCCACCTCTACCATCAAACAAATTAACATAATCCGTGCCAGATAGGGGGGATTAGAAAATTCCTACCAAAATGGCGATGTTCAGGATCAAACCTGGCCAAATTTGGTCAAACTTTGGCGGGGTTCGGCTGGGTTGGGTGGTGGACCCATGTAAACCCAACAGTAAACCATCCCCAATAGAAGTTTATTTTTGGGTGCCGCGATGATGGGTTTCTCCCAAAATGGCCTCCAGTCATGGTTGGAACGTTGGGGGTGTTTCATCATCTATTGGCTTTACCACATCCAAGATTGAACATCCCCTAAGTTCTAAATATCTCATTACCATCTCCGGGTGGTGTTTTTGAACGGGGATGGGTCCCTGGGTCCCTGGGTCACCTCCGGGTTCCCTGGGTCGCCTTGCCGCGGCTTGGCGCTGGAGGCCTCGGAGAACACCGAGACGATGGAGGTCCTCGTCTCGCAGGGCTCCTCCTGGGACCACGCCAAGTATGTGGGATGGGCCTCCGAAGACCCGGGTGACCATCGGTTTGTAACCATCAAAATGATTAACCCCCATTTTCATGGGTACGAAGGGCCTAGGTAGATTTCCAAAACACGTGTGTGTGTGTGCGTTTGTTTTTATATAACTTATATAACTATATACATATATATATATATATGTATATATATGTATACTCGTCAATTTAAAAATTGAAACTACATGGTGAAGTATGGTTAATGGCATTAACCATGTTTTTCATCAACCATAGCCAATATTAGTGTAATATGATGTAATTACTAAAACATAAACCAACTATGGTTCACTAGGTTCACTATGGTTATCTATGGTTCAATAAACCCCCAAGTTCCCAAGACCTGAAGCTCCAAGCCCCTCCGCACCTCCGGCCGCGAGGCCGACGCCGCCGAGCCGCGCCGCGAGGCCGCCTTTGAGCCGCGCTTGGAGCCGCGCCGCGGATCCGCGGCAGAGCGGATGGAGCCGCGGCTTCCGGCGCCCGTCGCCGAGCGCCGGCGGCCTGGCGCAGAAATACTGGGAAAAAATGGTGAAAGGGGGAAACTACTGTGGTTGGAAGAAATCCTACATCACCTTGGATGGTTGAAACCCTATAAATAATGGGATAAACCACTTATCAACTGGTGCAGGATTTCTTCCATCCACCGTAGGACAAGAGAGGTTGCAGGTTGGTTGGGAGGTTGTTATGTTTTTGTTCAATATTGTAAATCTAAATGTTTGACTGTTTCTTTTTGATTATCTTGCTAAATGTTTTGTTGAGGTTGTTGTGGTAATGTTTGGTTTGGATGAGGGTAGGTTTTGTTGAGGGTGTTTTGGCAGTTATGGTTTTTATGTTGTTGTTCAATGTGTGTTCCTTGGTTTTGATGATTTACTGGGACATTGTTAGGTGGTTTAGGGTCTTAACTTTCACTGGTGATGTTTGGATTGAATGGGGTAGGATTTGTTTAGGCTGTTGGGGTTTTATGTTTGGATTGAGATTTCATATGCCTAACATTCCAGTTTCATCATCTCCATTTCTCACAACTTTCGGTTTTTCCTTTCGCTTCAGTTTGGTTTGATGCTTGATGCTTTCTTCGTGCCTTTTGACCTGATATTTGTTATGATACTTCCGCACACGGGACATTCAGTCTTCAATTCATTAGTGTCTTTTTTTCCTCTGTTGTTTGTTCCTTTCTTCTTTGATGATACTGTATGGCATGCTGTCTTAGTTTTGTCCCTGTTCTTCTCTCTGTATCGTTGCTTTGCTTCTAAACAGTTTTTACACTGCTTACATTCATCTCTGTAATAGTTTAACGGTTGAAAGACTTTACATTCAGAACACTGCTTTTTGTCAGTCATTATACCTCTACAAGTTTAAGGGGTTATGTCTTTAAGGGGTTTTTAGGGTGGATTACTTCATAATATATTTTGTTAAGATATTATGAATTAATATGTTATGCTTTCCATTCACCTATTCCATCCCACCAGTGTTCAATTACTCTCATTTGTGATAAGCAGGGATTGTTTGTATCGTTTAGTTCATCCATCGCTATTGATAAAAGGGTCATATTAACACTCATACAAAAACACCCACCTCTTCTATTCAATTATTTTCCGCATTGTATGATTATATCTTTATTGGTGAGGTTTTCATACATTCGTTTGATGATGTCAAGTTGTTTGTGTATAAATATTTTAAACCGTTCAACATTACTTTCACTAACAACTCTATCAAGCACAGATTTCCAAAAATCAAAGTCTTCACGTGGTGGTAAGGGATGACATTTTACAAAGTCTCTAATCTCTTCATCTTCTTTTTCTATTGCTTTTCTTTCCCAGTCATCGTCCTCGCTTTCACTACCGAAGTCAGCATATATACCGATATGATCTCTATCTATAACCTGAATTTTTGCTTTACTCATTTTCTCTTACTATATATAGGCATTTTTCTTTACGTATTTACCACTTTTTGTACATACTCTTGTATTTTTTTTCTACATTAAAATATTTTTCATAACCATTGAAAAGTTCTTCAGTGTATTCACGCAAAAATATTTCCAAAATGATTTTTACCTTAAACTCCCTATTTCTGAATGTATAAGTCCAATCGTTTTGAGGAAACCACCACTCACGTTTGTTTTTACAATACGTCATATATGTAAGGTCGTGAAAGTTTTTAAGGAAGTGATAGGTAGTTTTCCACTCCTTTTTCACAAAAGACTTAATCGCCATTAAGAACAGTTTGTCATGTTTGAATTTTTGTTTGAGTTTGAATGTATCCATTAATACATCAATTTCTCTTTTCATTTGCCGAGTGTTTGTTCGGTTCGTGTTGGATAAATAAATAGGTGATTTCTCCATCCTTGTTTTAAAGAAATAGATTGTCTTTTCTACTTTCGTCAGTTTTTTTATCATTAAAATAGTCAAAATGATAATTGAAATCTGTGTATCTACGCTCCTTATCGTTTAAGTCTTTACATTTTGAACAGTGAAGGTTGTAATCACATATCTCATCACAAATTCCAGCGGGAAAAATATTGTCTAGTAAAACCTTTAGGTTAGTCATTTCTTTCTTACAACATCCGCAGTTTTTATAAGTAAATAGCATTCTCTTACTATATATAGGTAATTTTTCTTTAAGTAGTTTTTGGAGGCTCGTTCAGTTTTTGGGTTCTGTTGTCCCTTATCCACTGTAATCGTTTCATTCGTTGTGTTTCACTACTATCACTTTCATATTTTTCATCTTCAGGTTCTTCTTTCTTGTCTTCATTTCTTACTTCTTGCATCATCCGTCTTATTTTGTCTATACCGTGTTCTCTGTCAAATCCTTCCATTACATTTCTAACTTTTTCAAGACCGATGTGTCGTTCAATCTCTTCGTCTGTCATCTTTCTAAATTGTTCTTTATATTCTTCATCATGCTCTTCTCCGTTTTCATCTTCAAAGTTCATAAACATGTCAATTCGTTGCTTTTCCATTTCCAGAAGTTTGTTTTCCATTTGTTGGAATTTCATTTGTTTCTTGCCACACTTTCCACAAACATTCACGAAGGTTTGTAACAAATAATTCCAACTAGGTTTTTTGTAATCACCATTGTTTAAGGTGATACACTCGTTCATAATACGACATCCACAGTCAAATTTAGTCATCTTACTTATTCTTACTATATATATATGATTATATATATATAGGCATTTTTCCTTTAAGTATATTTTTTATTGCTGATAATTTTAAAAATCTAATATATTATAATATGTGGCAAGGAGACTATCACGAGATGACATCATAAGCAATGTCTATTACAATCTTGAAGCGGGCTTCGGTTCAATCAATGAGACCCTTAAGAAAGCCAAGGAACAAGACCAGACCATCAACAGGGTGGATGTGGAAAACTTCATGAGGAAACAGCCCAACAAACAGATTAGAAAATACAGGGGTTCAAACTCCTACACCGCACCCTTCGCAAGGTTTGAATATCAGATTGACATAATGGATATGAAACCCCTTACCAAAGAACCAGAGACGAAAATTCCCATCAAGAACGACGAACCGAGATACGGATTGGTGGTCATTGACATCTTCAGCAAGTTGGCAAACGTCGTCCCTATGAAAGAAAAATCCGGACCAATTACATTGTCGGCGATGAAAGAGAGTTTCAACAAAATGGGTTTTCCGATGTCCGTTTATAGTGAATATAGTGATAATGACCGTGCCTTCCAAGCGGATGTAAAAGACTTTTTTGAGAAAGAAGGCATCACTCACGTCGTCACCCTAACACACGCTAATGTTGTGGAGCGTTTCATAAGGACGATGAAAAATATGATACACGATAGAGTTAGGTTTAATCGTGGCAGTTGGACTGTGATGTTGTCCAAGGCGTTGGATAAATACAACGACACCATCCATTCATCAACCAAAATGAAACCCAAGGATGCCCACGACGACAAGAACCATATGAACGTCAGGGTGAATTTGACAAGGAGGGAAAAGAACACTCGCAAATATCCAGAGGTCAAAGTGAATGATATGGTGAAGGTCTTTGAGAAGAAAAAAGACAACTACACCGAGAGGAAGGAGTATAACTCAAAATGGAGCAATCAATCCTACAAAATCGTCAAGATAGAATACGATGACGTCGGAAACAGAACCTTCAAACTGGAAGGATTGAACAAACCGTATTTGAGGCACGAGATTTTGAAAGTATAAAAAATTATCTATAATATTTATATATGACAGAGGTAGTCGTAAAAGAGATTGATAATGAAGAACCAAAGGAAGAAACAATACCAGAACCAATACGGGAAGAAACGCCGAAGGAAGAGGAGAAACCAGAAGAAATAATTGAACCACCGGTTGAAGAGAAACCACAACCAGCAACGGTAGTCCCAAAGCCCAAAAGGGTAAGACCGTCAAGGGCGAAACCGCCTTTTGACCCAGAAGCATTCAAAAGCGACCTTGTAAAACAAATAAAGGAAGAACTACAAAGCGCGATGTCCGCCAGAGACATCTACAACAAAGCCAAAGAGGAAAAGAACAAAGCGACGAGAGAGAAATTGAAATCTTTAGCATCAAACATTTTATAAAGTATTATATATAAAAATGAACATCAAGGAACAGAAAATAGAACTCAACAAAACAGACATCTACGAAAACGTCCGCAAGGACATCAACAGAAGACAAACCGTCCATTCAAACAACAGTGCCAATTACCGGAGCGGAATGCCCGAAATGCCAGACAGGAGAAAAAAGTGTATAGTAGTTATGACCACTACTACCACAACGACAGCAACACGGCAAGGATGCCAACTCACAACCATCATCTTTACCTAAAGCGCCTTCTTGAATATCACAACACCGAGCCCGATTACAAGGTCTTACAAGTAAAGCAGAGGATGAAGGAAGATAATGAGATGCTATAACCATACAGAATAATCATCAATAACCTTTAACCATACCCATAGATTATTCATATCTACTTCATTACATCAATAACTACATCTTGACTAATCCATCAGACACTCCACAATTTCGGCGTAAAAAAAAATTGTCAAACGTTAGGTTTTGAAGTCTGCTTGGCAATTTTACATCTTGAACCCTTCTCCACTTCCACGCATTCACTCGGTCTGAAACCATCCCTCAACGAAGATGATGAAGACAATGTCTTCTAAACCTTGGCATTGGCAGGATAGAACCCCATTACGCTGGACAAAAAAAAACTCATATCATATGAGGTCGGGCTCATACCTGATGAGGGTAGGCTCATATGAGGATGATGTCATCATCATCCAAAATCCCTACTAAAAAATGACTAGAAATGAGGGTTGTCTCATATGAGGATGAGGTCACACTAGATGAGGACGGGCTCACACCTGATGAGGGTTGTCTCATCTCCTATGATGTTGCGCTCATACCCTTGTGAGACTGGGTTCATCCTTGAGGGAATGAGGGAGTGCTCATCAAGGCAAAGGGTCTCACTCATCAAGGTGTCTCGCAAAAGGCCTACATTTTTTTCATGAAGGCTGTCCAAAGGTGTCTGTCTGTGTGATACCGCAATTGGGCAGTGATTGTCTGAACATTACAAACGCCCCTCAGTGGCTTTACAAGTCAAAGACCTTCTTGACCGCCTTGTGCTGACAGTCAAACTGCAACTCATAGCCACCATCATCTCGGGGCGTGAAGATGTTGGTCTTGAACATATGGTGGATAAAGGCCTCCTTGGGGTCTGCACCACCCAAGGTTGCCTACTTGCCGGATGTAGCCGCTCTGATGTCATCAATGTCGATCGGCTCATTCAAGGCCTTCTGGTAAAGCCCCTTGACATTTGTGAAGGGCTGACCGTTGGTTTCCTTGATGGTCCTCACCCACCCTTGCATCTCCTTGTTGCAAAAGGCTTCTTTGTCTGCTGATGCGCTCAATTCCCTCAACTTCTCAAAGGTTCTGGGCATGTTGGTGAGCATCTCTTCGCTGATGTTCTCCTGACCCAAGGCCTTGAGGTATGCCTTGCACTTGGAGATGGGCAACTCCCTTCCAAGCTGCTTACGAAGGCGAGGCTCTCCTAGGGACAGCAGATGAGGGCTGATGACACATGCCTGTCTGCGCAAAGGTATTTGACCTGCTTCACGAAGAACTTCGCATCAAAGTTGGTGGGGAAATGCAGGTTTTATTCATGCGGCTCATCTATTCCGTGCTTTGTCACAGCCACCACATCAAAGCCGAGGCGAACCGGCTTCTGGGTCTTGTCCCTTACTTTCTCAAAGACCTCGGTCACCACATCCTCGTGCGTCTTCCCCCAATCTACCCTCATGCCATCCAGAAGCCACGGGAGCTTCCAAATGTTTTTGCGGAGTTGATTGTGGATGGCTCGATGCACATCGTCGTGGGAAACCTTCAGGAAAAAAGGGTTCTCGGCCTCCCACAGAACATGCTGGAGCGTGGTGGTCTTCCCAGTGGCTTGCATGCCAAAGAGAGCCACCATGCCATTCTCGCCAAGACCTCGGTGGATGGCTGAGAGGTCAAAGTTTACGAACTCCCTTTAAATTAGAAGTTCTTCGGATTTTCTGGGCGGAAGCGCCCCCTTTGGACGGCACGAGCCATCCGGTCTTGCTCAGTGACATTCCACGCAATGGCCATGACAGAGCCGCGGACCCCACTACCAAAGATGAGGGGCACACTTTTCTCCCCAATCCATTTCGCCCACGAACCCAGCATCCTTTGGCTGCTGTGGGGTTTTGAGCCCCCAATGTTGCTGGAGAAAACAAAGATGGCAGACACGAATGTTCAAAATCAACACCATCACATACCATCACAAAAATAACAACAACATGAGAGCAAGTCTGCACAATGACGCAAGATGGCACAAGATGACACAGGACAAGTTCGCACAAGCCCTTTCTCCAAGCATTGGGCGTCCCGACGTATTGAAAATTAGGGCGTCAGCGAAGAACAGGAAGAACAGGAAGCATAGGAAGGACAACGGAAAAAAAGACAAAGGCAGATGGGACACTTGGCAACCTCCTAAAAAAACTCCAGTCACGATGCATGTGTTTGGCGTTGACACAGGTGTTGGTGATTGGGGAAACCAAGACAAGGAAACCGGAGAGCATAAGAAGGACTGCTTCAGAATATAGCCCCAACAACCTAGACAAACCCTAACCAAAACATAAATCAAGCAAAAACATATCAACAAGGTAAGCATGAACACTTTGACCCAAAATGTCCCAAAAACAGCCCCAGAAAAACATCAAAACCAAGGAACAAACATTGAACATAAACCTAAAAACCATAACAGCCAAAACACCCTCAACAAAACCTACCGTCATCCAAACCAAACATTATCACAACAACCTCAACAAAACATTTAGCAAGATAATCAAAAAGAAACAGTCAAACATTTAGATTTACAATATTGAACAAAAAACATAACAACCTCCCAGCCAACCTCCAACCTCTCTTGTCCTAGTTTCCCCCTTTCACCATTTTTTTCTGGGAGAAATGGGAGAAAAGCAACTGGTGCACATTTTGTCTCAAGCATTTTACCCCAGGTCTTCAATGATTTGCGATTAAGTACGATTAAGTTACATTAAAAAAATCGAAACGATCATGTGGTCGGGAAACTCCATTTGTAATCAACAAGCTCCAGTCTAACTCATTCTAATTCCACATGTATTGTAAGTTGCTTTTGCCCACTGATCTCTCTTTAGTCACTTGCACCATTTCTTGATGGTTACATAGATACCCCACATATCATCTAATTGATTGAATCACCCCCTAGCTAGCATTTCCCTTGGATTTTCTTCATTTCCGGCGGGTTTTCCACTTTGACCAAAATTAGGTGTTATCCATTTCCTAGAGAAAAAAGGTGCTTAAGATTCTGCAAGATGGTGCAAATATATAAAAAAAGGAGTACGCCAAGGTTGACCAAAACCATCTATATTTGGCAACCATCCATATACATATATAATGTGTGTGTGTCCACGGGACGATGATCAAAAATTGTCTCATGATGTGGATTCAAGTATATAAAATACCCACATAAACGAACTAAACTGTCGATATATCCTATAACATCTATAACATATCCCAGCTGCTTCCTAGTGATATATTTCGTATTATCATCAAAGCTAAAAGGGTAGAAACATCGTGCAGGTTGTTTTTTGGGCTTGCCACATGAATGATGGGACACGAATTGAGACGGAACACGTTGCAAATCTGCAGCTTTCTGCGGGAATGAGAAAACGGCAAAAAGATGACAAAACCTGCCATACAAACTATCGCGTGGTTGGGGAACTCTTAGTACCATAGTAGCTCCTCAGGTTTTTGGCTCCTCAGTGAATAGGTAATTTGCAAAATCATCGAATCGAAATAAGTCTTAAGTGGAGGATTTTCCAGCCATGCTTGATGACCAGAGACTTCCTATCCATGCCATGAAATTTCAGAACCAGCATAAAAAATGGGGGTTCAACACCAGAAACATGATTAACTCCCCACATTGGACGAGAACTTTGAGCGCCAGCTGGGGGAAGTTGCGACACAGCCATGCAGGGGGTCTTCACCAACATGAGCCATTTGGAGCCTCGACCGTGAATTCCCCAAAAAATGACAATTTATGGCAATACTGCTTTGGGCTGGTCCCTCCCTATTGATCAACATGGGTGGTCACCCCCTATTAAACAACACCCTTCTGGCAAATCCTTTTTGGTGGTGAGAAAGTGAGTTGGTTCTGATGTTTCTGACCTCATGGTTCTGGCGCTGGCTGATGCAAACTGCTGCTAATCATGCTGCTCATAGGCGCTGCTATATTTTCTCATTCTTTCTCTTTACCCCTGTCCCATTCAGCTCATTGCTGCATTTGTTTCCGGCACACAGTACTGCTTTTCTGATAAAAATCTTGCAAATGCACACTCATCTCACAGAATCCCCAAAATCTAGGAACATCCCAATCTATTTTTTTAATTGAAAAAACATGCATTTAAATGTATTTTTAATTCTTATATACTGTATGTTTAAAAAATGCATTTTGAGAAGCTCATAAAGGGTACCCCTTTGGGCAAGTCGTTCCCCCGAAATATGTGCACCCCCAATTAAAGAACACCCTCAGACCCCCTGGCTTCATATTGCTGATTCTTTCTACTTTGCTTCATTGCTTCATTCTGCTGATGGCTTCTAGGTTTTGAATCCTTGTGCCCTGATCCTTTTCGGATTCAAAACATTTCTCATACTAAATCTCATAAATCCCATTCCAGATCTCATGAATCCCATTTTCTGCTCGTTATTTGGTGGTGAAAACCTTCTCATGGATTTAGACCTTAATACGAACTTGGCATTACCCATTGTTCCTTAGTTCCCTCCCAACCACTGGATAGCAAAACCAAAAGCAAAAGCTGTCGCTTCCCACCTTCTGCTGGTACCAGGATGGCCTTGTAGAGTTTCTTGCGGTCCTCTTCTGGGTCCTTCCCGATGGTCGTGGTTCAATTGATGAATGGGATAGCTTGCGGCGAAGCTAAATCTGGGCCCAAGGGGATACTTGGAGAATTGTTCTTTGAAGCACACATAACATAAAATGCTGCAGCGAGCCTCTCCCTTCCCGACAGCAAATCGGAGCGCTTCCATCCTGAGCCAACGCTTGTGGAAATCATCAGCAAGACTGAATTTAACCAAGACTATGGGTCGGTTCACCCTTCAACACCAAGGTCTTCACACTATGTTACATCTGTTATATATAGCCAGACCTTCACCAGACTGCCGGAAAAAAAAACATGTTCATAGTTCATAATCCGAAATATATCTTAAATCATTCCTAAGTCATCCCAAGTCTATCTACATCTGGTTGATCAAGGTTAGACCTGATAGACCAAGGCGCACCACTTATATCATTCCTAAGTCTATCTTGGATATATTCCTACTTGGTGGTTCATCCCACTTCGTAAGTGGGTTACTAGTTATCAGTGGGATAAGTAGGGTGAATCCACTTCTAACTGGGGCTACAACCTACTTACTACTTACTAGTTGGAATGATATACTGGTCATTACTGGTCTATTATACCATTCAAAATGACCGGTTATGATATTCCTAAATAGCCAATATCAATTGGTCAATCCTTATTATAATACCATTTGGTTAGTACCATTGATTAATTATGATAATTGACAGAGCCAATCACCATTGATTATTATTATGATTATTAGGTGATTATCCCATTGATCATTATAATGCCATTTATTCCATTATTATACCGTTGATTGTTCCATTGATTATGAATACTATTATCACCATTGATTATTATAATATATTATAATTTACTGGTGCTTAGTAGGGAATGGATGGGAATGGGGGTTGCTGGGATAATTATTGATACTTATTGTGGATCATTCCCTCATTCCCTACCAAATACGAGTAAGATATAGTAAGATAATATATAATAAACATTCCTAAGAATCAATGGTATTATAATAATCACCATTAATCACCATTGATATACCAATTAATTTATAGCTATAGCTACAGGATGGTGCCCCATAGTTAGCTAAGTTGGTTTATAAACCCCATTAACTATAGTTATATCTGCCATAAACCATAGTTATGGGAGTTATAAACCAACTTAGCTAACTATGGGGCACCACCTTGTAATACCATTGATTATTCCTAAGACAGAGCCAATCACCTGGTGAAATGCTGCGCTGGGCGGCACTTCGGAGGCCACGGTGGGCTTCTCACTGGGCGTCCTCATGATCTCCACCTCCTCAGGGCGGGTTTTTTGCCTTCTTGGCATAGGGAAATCATGGGAAACCATAGGTGTTTAAGAAGTTTTTAAAGTTAGGAAACCATAGGAAAAAATGAGTTTTAAGATGTTTTAAGCCTTAAGTATGATGGGTTTCAGATGTTTCGAAGTAAAATAGAACCAGGTATTCTGCAAATTGTTCCCTTTGAGCAATTCTGGGCTGCATCCATTGGCGTGTTTTCAAAAATGTATCTTTTCAAAAGCCGTGCAAGCCTCCGATTCCCGTCCTTTCGGCAAGTCAAACCAGTATTCTGATTGTTCTGGACAGGTTTATCGCGCATCATGGTCCACGCATGTCCACGCTACATACTCACTGTGTCCGAATTCTTCTCCTGCCAACTGCTTTTCATGGTCAAATCCTGTCAAAACGTAGTATCTTCTCATCGCGGGAATTGAATGCGTCCATGTCTTTGTTGACCCTGCAACGGAAGGAACATCTCATTATGTGACGGAAGGATATGCAAATCTGGTTAGGTTACGAGACGATGCTATAGACCGAAGCCCTGGTACCCCCAGGTTTCGGCGCACCGCGGCATCCGGTATGGAGAGTTTCCGCGAGCCGCATTTCTGGAGCACCTGGGAAATTTGGCACGTGGTGACTTGTTAATCGCCACATACATAAGGCTAACATCATGATGATGATGATGATGATGGTGCTGATGGTGCTGATGGTGCTGATGGTGCTGATTGTGATGGTGATGGTGATGATGATGATGATGATGATGATGATGATGATGGTGATGGTGATGGTGATGGTGATGCTGATGATGATGATGATGATGATGATGATGATGATGATGATTGTGCTGATGATGATGATGGTGATGATGATGATGGTGATGATGGTGGTGGTGATGATGGTGGTGGTGATGGTGATGGTGATGGTGATGATGATGATGATTATTATTATTCTTCTTCTTATTATTAGTATTATTTTTATTATATATTATCATTGTGATTATGATGACGATGCCAATGATGACGATGACGACGATGACGACAATGACGACGATGACGACGATGACGACGATTGGTAGTGGTGGGGCTCATGTCCCTCTACTCTTGCGAGTCGCATGTTGGATCCTTGCACGCTGATCCACTGAAACAACCTTTGAATTTGCACCATGGCACTGCCATCTCTTCATGCTTCCTTTTAAAGTTCAAAGAAAAACACCTTTTCTGGTATCATGGGATGATTTTGTTCGGTACCAAATTTGGGTATCTAACCCAACCTGAATACTTTCCATGAAGACCATGAAGCGAGTAGTGGACCCTTCTATTAAATGCCCAGGTCATCTCTTCGACAGTTTCAGGCAAATGGATGGAATTATAAGAAAAAGGTTATCTGGTTGGTGGTTTTAACCATCTTGAAACATATGAAAGTCAATGGGAAGGATTATCCCATATATTGTGGAAAATAAAAGTTATGTTTGAAACCACCAACCAGGTTATGTTGTAACCACGACTAAATTACCACGACATTTCCAACCATGACAATCCACCATGGAAACCGTACGACAATCCAGCATGGATTTCGCGTGGCACGACGACTCAGCGAATCACCAGGAGATGGACATTGGGCTGGTGCTGAGAGGAAATGGCCGAGTCAGATCTGGTTTGGGAAGGACATAGAAAACCATAAATCTTGTTAAGATTTTACCGGTGCGGCATGTACTTTTGGAAAGATCTTGCTGGGAACCATGTACATGCCGGTGATTGTTTACTGATTTTTGGCTGGAAGTCATGTGCTTTTGTTCTTATATCGATTCTCGCGAAAGTTCTGTGCTCTTTCATTGGAATTTCTCATTGCCCATAAGTTTTCTTTGATCAGAATTTGCCGAATGCGTGAGCCTTTTCACCAGATTGTGCAAATATACATAGATATAATATAATGTATATATATGTGTGTGTGTGTCTGTTAGGGGATGATTGCCGTTGTCTAACGCGCTTTCACTAGTCTTCCAGAAGCAGTATACAGTATATTACCTTTTTTGCTTAGAGTTTGCCGGGGGGAGCGGGTGCCTTTTGATAGATTTTGCCGAAGGCTGTGTATCTGTTTGTTAGAGCTCACCGGAAGCCGTGTTTCTTTTCACTAGACTTTGCCGGGTCGTGGTGTGCTTGTTGACAGATGTTGCCGGAGCCTGTGTGGTAGCACAATGCCAAACTTTAAGGATTCCCATCCCAAGGGCACATACCCCCCCAAAAAATGAGGCTTTAAAGAGCCCTTAAACTTGGGCTTGATAGAGGCTGACTACCCCTTCAGATACCCCATTTTCACTAAAAGAATAGTCCTGCGCACCAAGCTCCTCTGAGGGCTGCACTTTACGCTCATCTCTTTCCAATTTCTTTTTTAGCCTCAGACCCCACCGTCTTACCAAAGCGTGCTACTCGTCCACTGCACCAACTGCATATGCACTTCATGATTCTTAATGGTATATATATCTATATTATAGATCCAAACTACCACGGATCGAGACTCACATTGCATACGAAAAAAACACACTCTCTCTCTCCCAATATACAATATGCACCGTCTATCTATCTATCCATCTATCTGTCCATCATTCTATTCTTTTCTATTCTATGCTATTCTATCTTACCTATCTCATCTATCTTACCTATCTTGCTGAAATTATCTACAATATCAAAATCTATCTAATCTATCTATCAAATGCATCTAACCGATTTATAAATCTCATTTACCTGAGAGTATCTTATCTAGCTGACATATCTGATCAATCCGATCTATTGGTTTTCTATTGTTTATCCAATATTATCCATTTAAATTGGTTGTATCCATAGTGGCCAATGTATCTATCGATCCATCTATCTTCATTGCATCAAGGTTGCCCCTCACTGCTCCTCTTTGTCAATGGGCCTTCACCGTCCCTCAGAAGAGAAACGTGTCGTTTAACGTGTTTGGATGTGTTAAACGTGTTTTTTTTTGCTGGGTTCATTTATGCTTAGTGATGGAATAATCGTGACGCAGTGGTGATATCATGATGATATAATGTTTTTTTTAAATAGAAGGGCTAACAATGGTTAATGATGGTGACATGACATTGTCTAATGTCATTGTTGGCCCTTATTATCCGCATTGTATCCCATTGTATCATCATTATATCACTATTGTTATGGGCTCCATGGGATGATTATGGGATCATTATGGCATGATGGGATGCTACCATGATAACCAACAAATAAATAAATCGACTCTGCCAAGCGCCAGGGCTTGGAAAAGAAACCAAAAATAGTTGCTATTCTGAGGGTCGCACTGTCAATTTCGGAAATGGTGAATAGAAATGACGTGAAATGATATGACATATATCAATATATATCATATATATGAAACGTTGTGAAACCATGAGAAATGATATGAAATGATAACTGGCTCAAAAGTCATCCCAAAAATACAATTGAGGGAGCATTGAGGAAGTGTAACCCATTGAGGGAGTGTAACTATAAGCAACCACTCTTGACATCAAAACAATAGCTAGTTCCAAAATCAACTGGCAAAGTATAGCTATAACTAAATCCCAAGACAATTCAATCATTTGGAAGTAGGCTGTTCATCGTCCCCTGGAAGCCGCTGAGAGGTGGCTTCCAAACCCCTATGGTACTTTGAAGATGGTCTAGCCATAAGGGACCTTCTCATTATCTGGTTCCTTTTCTGGTTCCTTAAATTGGCGAAGAAACAGGTCCAGAGGTGACAAGGAGATGTTGTCAAGCCTTAAGCTGTCCAAATCCAGTTGATCCACGGACCAGTTCAATCCACGCCGTCCAAAACGTTCCCCAAAGATCTCCTGATCCCGCGGCCAAGGTTTTTTCATCGAGGGGTTTATCCTCTGGTAAACGTTTACAAAAAATTCAAAAAACTATGGAAAGATCCACCATGCTATTAATAGATAAATCCATGTGAATCCAGTATTTCGACTGGGCCATTCTCCCGTTGGCTATGTAACAAACTACCAGAGGGTATCCTCTGCTAATCCAACGTGGCAATGAAGAACTCTATCGGATAGGCCGCCTGCCGCCTGTCCTGAGAAACGTCACCATCCTTGGATGTCCTCGGCATGTTGTCCATGCTGTCCCAGTGAAACTGAGGTCTTCCCGGACAGTCCCTCCATTCATTGGGATGATTTTGAGGGGAACCCAACCTGAAACCCTTATCTTTCCCATCAATCATATGGTTTCCTGTAACTTGTTTTTTTTACCAGCCCAATCTCCCATATCTCACTTGCAAGTGTGTGCTATTGGTTGCTCATTCACTTCCATTAGCTGCCCACCGCAATTTAATCCAGACTGTGAAAGTTTTGGAATCGGGCCATACCAAGCCCAATGCCCATACTGGAGTGCGAACCTGTGCATTATGGTAAGAGTAATCCCCACTAAACTAAGTATATAACTTATAACATTAGTTCCAATTTACTACTATATAACCACCTAGCCGCAGGAGTCAACCGATTATTGCTCTCAAGTATTACCCTCCGGACATCCCAAAAAGCCCAGTTGCAGAAGTTCCAGTGCCGCATTCTGAGTCAAAAGGGCCGAAACCGAGCCGGGGGGAGACGGAGGGAACCGTCTCTGATTTTCATAAGGGGGGCATCAGAAACTATCACAAACCATCCCCCCAAACAAAGGCGATATCATACAATATTGTCATAGTAGGAAGGGCCGGATTGATATACCGGTTTGATAAGATATATATATATATAATTATATATACTATTCATTATCATCTACCTATTGGTTGGTTTTCATGGGGGAACCGTCTATGAATTCCAAGCCTTGAAGAGTTGGCGAAAAAGCAGGGGCAAATCAATGGATGTTCCGCTCAGGCTACGAATTAGTAAATCATCATATGTTACTATGTTCATACATTATCATAAACGATTATAGTCGATTATATGTTCCCATGTGTCTCATGGTAAATCAGTATATGATCATCATATTTCCCAGTTGTTTCATCAAGTTGATTTCCGCTTGATATCTACCCATTGATAGTCACACAGATGGCTTTGTCACAAATGAAACCATCATTATCATGTTTTTTTTCCATACTTGTATGCTTTCACATTTCAATGACCAGAAAATGGTCACCCATCACCATGAAATCAATCCAAACGGTCCATCATTGTGTTTGATCCTATCCAAATGTTTAGGTGTATCCTCTGGTAATTTAACAATGAGCTGTGGCCAACGTTGGATGATTTACCTGTTATGCGTGTTGTCATGTTGCATAAGTATGTTAAATTGATTACGGCCAACGGGTAAATCCAACAGTCAAAGAGCCATGATTACCAATGATTAGGTGATCAAAGTGATATTTATGTGTCTCTATCATTAGTGGTACCCTCTGGTAATCTAACATAGCTATTGAAAATGGCCATTTATAGTGGATTTTCCCATTAAAAATGGTGATTTTCCATAGCTATGTTAAATTACCAGAGGGTATCAACAAACGAATGTCCCATTCACATCCCATTCGTACCCGCACTGCCTCCCAGCGTTTCTCCAAGGTTCAAAAGGCACATCGAGGCGTAGCTTGCCCCGCACATGTCGTGCAGGTCGCTTGGGGTTATGTCTTCCTGCAGGGAGAAGGCCCCTTGCGAAATCCTGCACCAGTTGGTATAGGTAACTATGAAACACGCAAAATGATATAAAGAATGGGGTTATAACTGGATAAACATGGATAAACCATCTGCCAACTGGTGATTTCGCAACCATCCACAGCAGCCATATGGGGATGGTTATCCTTCTATTGATATGAGTGATTGGGTGATTTTACCATCGGTGTCATGTGGTTGGGAAACTATACAGATAGCACCTCCCAAGAGCCAGATAGTTAGAGGCTAGAGCTGCTAGGGGTCCTTTTCTTTTCCCATGATGATCAAGACCAAGAGAGTAGCCATTGGTGAAAGGGCTGCTGCTTGTACATGATTGTGGATGTAATCAACTCTAGTCCTAGCTTTAAGCAGAAGTTGTGGGTAGCTACATGTAGCTACATCCCCAGCCATGTATGCTATGGCTATGTTACGTTGTTGAAACAAAAAAACGGGTCTGACTATGCACAGTGGCAAGGATGTGTGGGTGCATCGAAAGATACCAATGGGAAATCCCGTCAAAATTGATGCGTTCTTGGAAAAAAACATCTATGAATGGAGGTTTTAATCGAACATCAATTAACATCAACTATAATTAGAGGTTTTGATAGAAAAATCAACTATCTCTCTCTCGATAAAAAAAGAAATCAACTATAAATGGAGGTTTCAATGGGAAAATCATCTGTAAATGTGTATTGTTTTCCATTGCCAAGAAACATGGTTTCAAGAAATGCTCAACCTGTAAGGCTGAGTCCACAGCCTCCGACCCTCCGACCCTCCGGGCCTGTCAACAAGGAGCCAGCGCTAGCACTGTTCCACATGGGGCTAGTGCCATTGAGCCACAAATTCTGAAGAAACCGCCTGAAAATTAGCATGAAACATCATGAAACCCCAATGAACTTGCATATCACCTTGAATTTTATACATATTTATAGCCAAACACATTGGAAAATGCTGAATCATTTATCTTTATGTTTATTTGTTTGTTTATCTATATGTTGATTAATTTGAAAAAGATCTAATATGATTTGATTTGACCATGTGCCACAGAGATTGCAAAGTAGCCAATTTAGAATCCGAAAACCCCGGGCAAATCAGCAGGGTTTGTCTGAAAATAGGGCACCCCAAAATCCACGGCTTAATCATCATGTTTCATATTAACAAATTGGCCACATCTGGTGGTAAAATCACCAATATATAGGTAATATCATAGTCTGAGTTGCAATGTATTGCAATGTATTACAATGTATTACATATCCACTACATATCCCAAGTACTGCTTGGTTGATGTTGTTTTCATCCCCGTTTCGCTTCGTGATTTGCCCAAAAAAGACATCCTTCAACCCCCCACCTGCCAGAATCCTTCGCCCCACCAGGCGCCGCCGCAACACCGGGCACACGAAGTCGGGCAAACAGGCGCAGCACAGCGCCGCCTTCGCCGGGTCGTCGGGCTCGTTGAAGTCCCGCACGGTGTCCTCGATGATGCCCGGGCGAGCCCAGCCGAAGCTCAGAAGGGAAGCCATCGTGGCCTTCTCCTGGAGGAGCAGGCAGCAGGCTTTGGGCTGGTGGATTTTGGGACATGGAATTTGATACTGGTTGGTGGTTTCAATCCCTCTGAAAAATATGAAAGTCAGTTGGGATGATTACCCTCTGGTAATTTAACATAGCTATTGAAAATGGCCATTTATAGTGGATTTTCCCATTAAAAATGGTGATTTTCCATTGCTATGTTAGTTTACCAGAGGGTACATTCCCAATATATGGAAAAATCAAAAAAATGTTCCAAACCACCAGGATAAATCCTCCAGTGGAAAGCTGGTTGATCAATTAGCCATATATCATCCCGTGAGACTTCCCATATATAGTACCCTCTGGTAAATTAACATAGACCCTGGCAGTTGTCGGGGTTGGAAGACTAGTTTCCATTAAAAATTGGTGATTTTCAGGGTCCAACTGTTTATTTACCAGAGGGTAATCCTGGAATTCCAAACCACCAGTGACTTCACCAAGGAGAAAAACATAACTCAGCAAGTCCAAGTCGCCTTTGAGATGGACCGGTCATCAGCTCTGGGAAGTCCTGAGGGCTCCGAAGATCCCGAAGATGTTCGATTTTGGGGATTCAACCCCCCTCCAAGGATTTACCCTCTGGTAAACTAACATAACTATGGAAAATCACCATTTTTAATGGGAAAATCCACTATTAATGGTCATTTTCAATAGCTACGTTAAATTACCAGAGGGTATTCATAACATTTAAGAACCAGCAGTTACTGATAAATACGCATTTGTTCATTCCAACCATCTATGATTGCCTAGGTCATTCTCCAGTTCCATTCCCTATCCTCACGTTTGAAAACCAACAACTTCAGCAAATCCCCGTCATTGTTGTCGTTGATGATATCCCCAAAATGGTTGGTTGTCCACCTGGAGTCCACCCCACTTTCTTGTTGGATAATCTTGGGGGCAGTCTGCGCCAGGGATGCCAATCAATGGCTATGCCACTCAGGAAAAATTGCGATTGCAGTAACCATCAGATTTAGCGGTACCCAACCGGTTCACTCTATCATATCCAAATATCTCCGCACTATATCAATCATATCGCAACATATCCCAAGATGACCAATATGCCACCACTAGATATACATACGTGTATATATATACTATGCGCCATGTTCAGGCAACCCTATTTGAAAGCACCAGCTGCAAACAAATATCCAAACCCTTCCATAAATCCCCAAATCCATCACTTTTTTATTCCAGAAAATTCTAGGCCATTCTGGTTGTCTAAGTTCCATTTTTTGGTGATTTTGGGGATGGTGGATCCTATTGCTTTACCAACATTATCAGGGTATATCACCATTCATCACCATTCATTATCATGATGAACCATTCTTAACCATTATTAAGCACTATATTCATCGATATTCCCATTCTTAACCACTATGAACCATTGTTAATCACTTTAAACTTTAAACTAACCAGTGTTAATCATTTTTATTCATATGAAAATGATTCTTAGTGATTCGTGTTAATTCTTCATCACCATGATTAACATGGCCTTAACTACTACAATTATTGTTAACATTGCCTGATTAATCACTATTACCCTCTGGTAATTTGTTACTAAGCTATGGAACATGGTTATTTAGTTCGTTGACTTACCCATTCAAAATGGTGGTTTTTCCATAGCAATCTGTTAGTTTACCAGAGGGTAAGTGGTACATAAATCCCTATGACAATGGATTGTTGGTTCCCAAAACCCGAACTATTACTATATACCATCTGGTTATTTAACATAGCCATGGAAAATCCCCATGCTATTAATAGGTAAACCCTCCATAAATGGGCCATCTATCCCATGGCTATGTTAAATAACCAGATGGTAACTAGGAACACGGCCTTTATCTGGCCGTGGTGTTTTTGTGATCAACGGGGTGTCATGGATGATGTTTGATGTGGTCGTGCCAATAGGATTTTGGTTGATGTGATTTCAAAGGCGAAAAAACCCTGATTCTGGTGCATAAAATCACAATCGAGCGTTTCGCCTAGGCAAAACTACGATTTTTGATGTTTCTCAGAACTCCCCAACTAATTCGACCTGTATTGTTTTGATGTGAGTTCAAAGACAAGAAACCCCCTTATTCTGGTGCATGAAATGAAAAAACAAGTATTTCGCCTAGGCGAAAACGCATTTTTTTGTAATTCCACATGTTATGTATTGATGAAGTTGGCACAGCCTGCCAGACGACCTTGCAACCGACCTGGATTTCAACATGTTATGTATTGATGAATGTGGCACAACCTGCCAGACGACCTTGCAACGGACCTTCACTTGCATCGAACAGATAACTATAACCAAAGACAGGCATTCATACAAGTAAATGATGTTGAAACCAAAGAAACTAATCGCACTTCCAGCGGACATTTTCTGATTGAATTTAACATGAACGTTAACACATGCCCCACTCCACCCCACCCATGTCTACACGCACATAACGGCACACACAGAGACGAGTCCACTTACCTAGCAAGTTCACATGAACGTTAACACATGCCCCACCCCACCCCACCCCCCCAATGTGCACGAAAACGCACGGCCAGATAAAGGCCGTGCTCCAACTATTACTATATACAACTATTCTCATTCCCAAATTCACCGTAAATGGGTGGTATAAATCATCAAAAATGGGATCATCAAAAATGGGTGGTATAAAACCCGAACTATTACTATATATCATCTGGTTATTTAACATAGCCATGGAAAATCCCCATGCTATTAATAGGTAAACCCTCCATAAATGGGCCATCTATCCCATGGCTATGTTTAAAAAAATGGCAATTATATTACTATAATACAAGTATTGTCATTCCCAAATTCACTGTAAATGGGTGGTATAAATCATCAAAAATAGGATCATCAAAAATTGGTGGTATAAAACCCGAACTATTACTATATATCATCTGGTTATTTAACATAGCCATGGAAAATCCCCATGCTATTAATAGGTAAACCCTCCATAAATGGGCCATCTATCCCATGGCTATGTTTTAAAAAAAATGGCAATTATATTACTATAATACAAGTATTGTCATTCCCAAATTCACTGTAAATGGGTGGTATAAATCATCAAAAATAGGGTCATCAAAAATTGGTGGTATAAAACCCGAACTATTACTATATACCATCTGGTTATTTAACATAGTAGCCATGGAAAATGGCCCATAGAAAAAATGGTTTACCTATTAATAGCATGGTCATTTTCCATGGCTATGTTAAATAACAAGATGGTAACTATTACTATATATAACTATTCTCATTCCCCAACTCACCGTAAATGGGTGGTATAAATCATCAAAAATGGGATCATCAAAAATGGGTGGTATAAAACCCGAACTATTACTATATATCATCTGGTTATTTAACATAGCCATGGAAAATCCCCATGCTATTAATAGGTAAACCCTCCATAAATGGGCCATCTATCCCATGGCTATGTTTTAAAAAAATGGTAATTATATTACTATAATACAAGTATTGTCATTCCCAAATTCACTGTAAATGGGTGGTAAGTATAAATCATCAAAAATAGGATCATCAAAAATGGGTGGTATAAAACCCGAACTATTACTATATACCATCTGGTTATTTAACATAGTAGCCATGGAAAATGGCCCATAGAAAAAATGGTTTACCTATTAATAGCATGGTCATTTTCCATGGCTATGTTAAATAACAAGATGGTAACTATTACTATATATAACTATTCTCATTCCCCAACTCACCGTAAATGGGTGGTATAAATCATCAAAAATGGGATCATCAAAAATGGGTGGTATAAAACCCGAACTATTACTATATATCATCTGGTTATTTAACATAGCCATGGAAAATCCCCATGCTATTAATAGGTAAACCCTCCATAAATGGGCCATCTATCCCATGGCTATGTTTTAAAAAAATGGTAATTATATTACTATAATACAAGTATTGTCATTCCCCAACTCACCGTAAATGGGTTGTATAAATCATCAAAAATGGGATCATCAAAAATGGGTGGTATAAAACCCTAGCTATTACTATATACCCTTTGGTTATTTAACATGGCCATGGAAAATGGCCCGTAGAAATAGATGGTTTACCTACTAATAGCATGGTGATTTTCCATGGCTATGTTAGTCATAACCAGATGGTAATACTATATACCCTCCAGTAAATTAACATAGACCCTGCCAGATAGGGGTTGAAAGACTAGTTTCCACTAATAAATTGGTCAGTTTCAGGGTCTATGTTAATTTACCAGAGGGTAACTACTAATCACTATCAGCCATTCATCACTGGCCTCGTGGTGCATCCCACGCCGCCGCCAACTCGTTGGGCTCCGCAGGCCCCGCAGGCCCCGCAGGCCCCGCAGGGGCCGCACGGGGTCGTGGCCTGGCACGCCGGCAGACGCTGGCCAACTCGTCCTGGCCATGGGGGTACCCACCAGTTGCCTGGTAAATAAAAAAAAGCTATGGAAAAGTCCTCATGTTTAAGAACGGTAAAGCAACTAGAAATAATATATATACATATATATATTTATATTTATAATTATGTATAAATCAATTAAAAAGCTATGGAAAGTCCCCATTTTTGAGGTGGTTCATATCATACATATCCCATATTTTGGTGATGATTGGTGATTGCAATCACAAAAAGGTCGAAGCTATGGAAAGTCCCCATGTTTAAGAACGGTAAATCAACGAACTAAATGGCAATGTTCAATAGCTATGTAACAAATTACCAGAGGGTATGATCCATTTGAGTATTTGAAAGCCATAGAAAGCCGTTTGGAATTGAAACATATTGAAACCCCGTGGTAGTCTTTCATGGCTGACTCAACTTCATTATATAGACATTTTTAGAATTGAAACAACGATGGTGAGTTGGGGATCCCCCATAATCTAAGAACCCCCCATATAATTTATGACGTCATGAGGATATAGGCTCTAACCCCGTACGGAAATTTGTGATCCGTAATTATCCTGAATATAAATCTATGATTGCTAAGTCACCCGGCCAACCAGGTTCGTAAACCAATACATTGTTGATTATATGCCGATGTGGTGCAAGTAGCCGGGGGAAACCACACAATGTGCCAGATGCGGTGTGTTGATTCGGGTACTGTAAACTTTCTGAATACCTACAAGTAGGGGAAGCTCCGGCAAGCATTTCATGTGTGACGCCTCTGAGAAAATTCAAATGTCCAAAGCAACAAGTGCTCACATGCTGCTACAATACCATGTCCGTCCTGCAAACGTAGTGCCAACACTGCACAATATGCACGAACAACGGCCACCAGCAAGCCAACGCAGTAGAGCAGCACTCCAGCAACAGGCGATGCGTTACATGGCAAACGGGCAACTGCCAGTGCAGCAACCAATGTACTGTAGATCTCTGTGCATATCGTGCACACGGCGTATGTCGTGAAGCGTGGAATGGCTTGCCAGGGTCCCCAATATGCAACGCTCATGGGCACCGCAGTAGTGGATGACTTTGGCCGTCTAGAAGTGCAAGAGACCCAAGCGAGTGGCAGAATGCAAAGTAGTAGTTCTGGCAAGCACTGGTGGGCCAGATGCAACCCAACAACTAGGAGCCCCCTGGCCACAACATAAGCTACCCGGAGCACCACAGCTATGACCGCTATGGTGATGAAAGCCGTGTGCAAAGCGTAGGCCGAAGCATAGTGCCGAGGCCGGCGCTGTGAAGCTAGCGTCTTGGGCAATTCTGGCTGAGCTCTTCCAAGTGCAAAGGCTGAAGATGAAGCTTCGCAACCGTGGCTGCTATGGCCACCATGGGCAACTGACTCATTCGGCTCCATGGTCTCCAAAACTGCGGGGCTGGTGGGGCTTGCCACCGCCTCTGCTGCCCTCCTCAGCTCCGGCTGCGCATCAAACCCCTGCGGCCGTGCTGTGGGTGTTGGTGGCGCTGGCGGTACCGGCTTGGGCGGCAGCGGCGCTGAGGGAGAGCCCGCCTCCCCAGCTGCCCTGTACTGCTCGGCGTCCTGCGCCGCGATGGCCTCCACCAACAGCTTCCGACGCTGCCGCGCCACAAGGGATGGCAACAGGCGCCAGTCGAAGGCGATGCATAAGCCCGTGGCCACCAGCAACAAGGCAATGCCTGTTAGAATTAGTAAACCCACTCCCAGACCTTGGACTGTACCACTGCAAGCGCCATCCCATTGGGGTAAGACACATTTGATCTTGGCAGAACTGATGTCAACGGTGACATCACTGGCTCTCAAGGCTGTGGCATTGCGGGAGTAGTATTGCACTGCAGCTTGACAGTCCAAGCAGAGATCCATGGCAGCAGAACATTGCGCCTCAGTAGGTCCAGAACCACCGCAGCCTCCACCTGCCACCAGGGAGTCCCATGCATCTTGCGCCACGCAGCACGGGGTTGCTATGGGGTCATGTGTCTCCTTGCCGGCCACGACTGGGGGAGAATACGGCAGGATCAGCATTCAGAAGACTTGCTAGCTATATTAGACAAACTTCAAAAACATGAAAAATACAGTAATCTATGCGATATTAAATATATATATATATGCACATACACAGCCATCTATAAGATGCTATAATAGATTGAATGGTCTTGCTGTTTCGTCAGCAAGTTGTGAAATCAAGGAATACAACCAACCAACATCCAACAACACCGTGAAGTAAAAGCAAAAGCAGAACGGACAAACCAGTGTGGGTCAAACTGGGGTATGCAACAAATGTGGTTGCCAAAGCCCGAACGGGCAAACTGGCCTATGTATAACCCGCCATCTGTGTCCCTTTCCAGTAAATTGTTTTTACTAGTAATCTATGTTATTAATTTGCCAGGTTCGATTACCCTCTGGTAATCTAGCTATATGGAAAATTACCGGTTGATGATTTCACTATTTTGTCCGCATGGAGGATGATCTAACTAATATATTATATACATTGTGGTTTTCCACAGCTGTTGTTGTTTCAGATTGCGAGAAGGTATGTTGCCCCTTCATTTTGTCATAGTTTCTCATGTATGAACAACAAATTCACATATTCCCACTAGATTCCCCCAAATGATGAATTAATATGAATTATATAACCAAAATGGGAATATTAAAAATCACTGACTCAGCAAATCTAAGGGAAAGTCAATGGCCTCCGTGCAATTCAGTGCTGCCTTTGCCGCCAGGGTGAAGATGAAAAGGAGGCGCCATGCGCACAGCGTCGGCATTGAGCCGTTTCACGGTGTCCCTTGGGCCACCACGGCAGCAGCATGCAGCCACCATGGTCCCATGGTCGAACCATCGGAAAAATGGGGCATGGTCATCCATCCAATTTACAGAATTCTATGATGGGCAATGGGTAAGCCCATGGTAAGCCCTATGGGTCATGACTATCTCCTTTAGAAAATCATCACGTTTTGACCACTGCACATAGAATAATAGCCAACTCCAGGTTGTGGAGGGCAAGTACCTATATGGCAGCAAGTCCTACCGGCTGATGGATTAACTACGGAAATCAATGCCTGTCATGCCTGTCCCTTCCCTTCGCATGGTTGAACAGCACCTGTGGAAGGTTTGAATGTTGATTTTTGGGCAGAGACCTACAGGGTAACAATTTTCAAAATGAGCAGGGTGAAAGATGCAAGGAACAATGTCGAAGCCTAGCATTGCTGGATTTGATCACTGGCTGTCTTCGAGTATGGCAAGCTTTCAACTTAAATTGCTTAGAACCAAGCTTAAAGCAGCAGACAGCCACCAGCTGAAAATCAAGACGTGATTTTACACATCCCTCTAAAAAAAACAAGGTCCGGCCTCCTACCTTCAAGGTTCAGTCAGCTAGTTTAATAAATCAAAAAGTTAAACTCCAAGTAGGGATGGTTTACACCAGCCATTTCCGGTGAGCCACCGACTGCTGATGGTATTGCCTCAGTCCTGTAGGTATGGTGAAGGCGGTGATATACCACAGCATCCTGGAACGCTGGGGGCCATCCCAGCCGTGGAGCGACATTTGTCATGTTTTTCAATGCCAATCGAATCCCTAAAGCTGCATGTTCTAATTGTATATGTACAGTATATAGTATAGCAATCGTTTTTGGCAACCCCCCAAAAAAATAAAAGCTAGTTCAAATATCCTACATAAAATAGTGATCATTCAATGTTTCTATATATATATATTTGGGGTACTGCATAATATTCCACAGAGATCCAATGGACCCGCGGCTCCTGCCGAGGGCTAGCAGCAGCTTGCGCCTCGGAGCTCAACATCCATTCCACTCGATCCTCCTCGCCGCGAACGTCATCGTCTTTGTGATCTCCGTCGAACTCCTGGAGGAAATGAATGGGATATCAATGGGATATGAATGGAAAATGAATGGCAGATGGGATATGAGTCGGATATATAATAGGGATATCGAATGGAATATGAATGGGATGTCATATGGAATATTGGTTAATACCAGCTCGTAAACTAACAGTTTGCGAACTGGAAAGCACAATTTTAGATAGATAAATCATCGAACGAAATGCGCCATTCTCCATGGCAAACCCCCATTGAGACACCTGCCAAACCATTGGGAAACTTGTAGGTGTTGATTGACACATGGTGAACTAAAGTGAGAAAATATGGATGTTTCATGGAATAATTTGGTGGTCTGTTGATCCACTTCCCAGAGTTAACAAAAGGCCATCTCGATCTCAGCGTATGCCTACAATCCATCCACTGCTATTTTCATTATCGATGATCCTGGCCCGGAAAAGATTATGATGTTCTATCACCAAGGATAGGAACCAATATTGATTTGATGATGGTTTCTTATCCATCCAATCATCAAACTCAAAACCACCTGTATTTCACAAGGATAAGTACTGGCCCTCAAGTCAGTAGCACAATTTCCCAATCAACTGGCCATAAAATTGGTGGATAATGGGGGTATACCCCATAGCACATGGATGTTCATGGTTATAATTCGTTACAATCTCATCCCCCAAATACTAAACACATCTAAACACCCCAATGGTCCCTATGTGTAAATTCCCTACATCCAAATATGCTTAATGTGGGCGTTTTGACATTGACTCTCCAACTCCAGGGCGAATGGCCAGCGGCCCGCCTGGTAGTTCCCGGGAATCGCTGTGCGACTGCGTGCATCCTGCCGCCAGCGAATCGCTGGATTCTCTGGGGAAAACCGACCGGAGACACCCGAAGACCTTGCTTTGGCGCCCAAAAAAGGTGTTTGATGATGTTTGGTGTTTGTGTTTGTGTAAATGTTCCCTTCAGCCAATGATCTACTGGCACGAGCATCCGGCAGCCTGGTAGATGAGATTTGTGGTCAGCACCACGCAAAGTCTCGGCCCGCAGAATCCCGAGCGACGCCAGAATTATACTGTCATATCACCTCAGAGCCTCCGGTGAACTCACACTATGGAAAAAAAACATGTGTAGATTCTACACAATCCTTGGGTTTCCCCTATATGTTTTTGCATATGTCGATCTTAGTACTGTTCATAGGGCACGCCCAGTTCATCCCATGGACCAGCTGAGGAAAGAACATGATGGAGCCATAGAGGGGGCTCGCCTGCGCGAGAGCGACAGACAGGGAGAGAGAGAACGAGGTAAAGATTACGAGCAAACGGGCAAAGGATGCAGCACTATTATACAATAAAAATACAACAGGTATTAATGTGAAAATAATAGCACTATAACATACTATAACACGACGTATAGTTATACCACTATAGTTCCACACAGTAGCACATACTTAATGTGTAATGTTCCACACATTAACCGTACTAAGGTGGGACGCATGCAACATGTTTCTGGGTGCTACTGCACAGATCTGCACAGAGCGGCGTGTCCGGTGTTCGTTTGTGCGGGCTTGTTTTCAGCATCACATGAAGCGCGACGTTGGAGACGTTTGAACGAAACACCACGGAAAAAAACAAAGAAAAAAAACAATAGAAAAAACAAATGGCACAAAGAAAGAACACATCCTCCTGCTACATTATATAATCATAATTATAATCTACATTCCCAAAATCAAAATAGGCACACTTGAGACATGTTGAGACATGTTGATTGATATATATATATATATGTGTGTGTGATTACAGTATGTGTGTGCGCGTGTTATAGCGTTATACCGTTTTATACGAACAATTACAGTATCCAGTTTCTATTGATCTATCAATTCGATCGCCGGCACTGGGACTTCCGGCCGTCGGAGACATCAGGTGACCGAGCAGTGACATCTCTCCCTTTGACCTTCAACAACTGGGGCACCAATGGAGCGACGTTTTAACACCAACAAAAACCTCCAATTCAGCTGTGGATCGCGGATGGGCCCACTGGGACATTTTGATCCCACCTGAGCTCCTCACATCATCATCAGGATCACCCCAGGTAGACCATAGACCTGAACATCTCATAAAAATCTCTGGACCTGAAAAATCTGAAATCGGAACCTCTATGAAACTCTCCATGGATTGGTTTCAAGATGTTTCAACATCTACAGAAAGTGGAAACCATTGGAAGTTTTTGACCATTGAGGTGGCCGCGGGATTCGTGACAGACATCACCTGGGATCAGCCCACATCCGGCACATCCGGACATCAAACATAGAAACAGAGCTGGAAACATAGCTGGAAACCAGCTGAAAACCATCAGATTCAACGATATTTTTTCAGCGATCCAAAGTCATTTTCATGCATTTTGATCTTTGAAGAATGAGGCCCTGAAGTCTTCCAAAGAATCTTGCGGTCCAGCTGCTGCGTGAGTGATTTCTGCTCCTTCTTGAAGCTGAGGGTTTTGTAAGAGAATGTAGATCACAGACCTGAAAAAGTACTGGCAATCCAGGCAATCTGAAAAGGGTAGCAATGTGCCAACACTACTTCGAATGAATTTCGTCATGTTCGCGCATGATCAGCCTCATAATGAGATCCTCTGGAAATCAAACATGGCAAATGGACAATTCACCATGTTAATTATACAGAAATTTATGGATGACTCCCACTCAGTATAGAAATGCCAAGTTTTCTAGGGGATTTCTCATTGCCAAGTCCAGTACGTGGGAACCGTGCCCAGCAAGATATTCGTCAATGGGAGAACCTGCGGCGTGGGTTTACGCTACACTAGCCGTGGGCCAAAAATGGGCGGCATACCACAGTTTTCCCTATCCTGTCACATCCTGTCACATCCTGTCACATCCTGTCACATCCTGTCAGATCCTGTTGATGATATCAAATGCATGTGAAATATTGTGAAATGTATATGTGAAAAGTGCAATTTTCAAACATGCATTTGAATTCAGGTCAAAATGGTCTGTTTTGGGGCTGCTTAGGCTCACGCAAAATCACGCTAATTGGGGAAACTCTTCTCATTTTTCTCGTGTCTTGGGAAATGTTTTGAGAGGGACTCGATTCCTAGATCTGAGGTGATCTGAGGTGATCTGAGTATATCTGAGTGATAGAAGTTGAGATACGAATTCCCCAATTTCCGGTGATTTATCGATATGTTTCTCTGACTCCTGTCCATTTGTTCCGCCTTGGAGGCGAATTCCACCTGGGTGAAGAGCCTCAGCCATGGTTTATTAATTGGGGTGGTACTCCAGTCAGGATGAATAAACCATGTTTTTTAATGTTTATGACAATTGGGGTGCTACTACTCAAAATAGTCATAAACATCAGAAGTCATAAAAGAAATCCAGAATTTTCGACCTGGTGTATGCTAAGTATGCCGCATGGAGAAGTTGTAAGCCATCAACAGCAAGCACACTGGATAAATCAATGCCTCGCATCGGCGCAAAATCGCGCGGAGAGCTGACAGTACTCAGAAAAAAATATTAACCAAAAAAAAAACTTAACAAATCATGTGCCAGTCCCCAGTACCAGACTTAGTTGGACTTATTTGAGAGGGACATGGTTTTTATAATGATACTTAATGCCATCGAAAAACCACAGCAACGGGCAATGCTGTTGGTTGAAGGATCTTCTGAATCGTCAAACCCATGGTGCCAAGCCGTGGCCGCACGCCGCCTCCACCAAGATCAGCGGGAAACCATTGCCCGTCAGCCTCTGGTCTCCCTGGATTAGGATTGCCTCAGCGTGGCTCAGCCGACTAAGCCGAATACGAAACTCAGCTGGGTTTCAGATGGGGCATTTCCAGTGGCTGAGAATCCACGTGGTGTTCCATCAATAGTCTCATTATATCCCACTCATAATTCATTTATATTCCATATATATATATATCCCATTGAATTCCCATTTGATTCCCATTCATATCCCATGCATATTCCATTTATATATAAATGAATATTCCCATTGAATTCCCATATCCCATACATATTCCATATATATATATACATATATATATATACATATAAATATGTATTCCCATTGAATTCCCATTTGATTCCCATTCATATCCCATGCATATTCCATTTATATATAAATGAATATTCAAAATTGAATTCTCATTTGATTCCCATTCATATCCCATGCATATTCCATTTATATATATACATATATATATATATATTCCCATTGAATTCTCATTTGGTTCCCATTCATATCCCATGCATATTCCATTTATATATATATATATAAATATATTCCCATTGAATTCCCATTTGATTCCCATTCATATCCCATGCATATTCCATTTATATATAAATGAATATTCACATTGAATTCCCATTTGCTTCCCATTCATATCCCATGCATATTCCATTTATATATACATATATATATTTATTTATTCCCATTGAATTCCCATTTGGTTCCCATTCATATCCCATGCATATTCCATTTATATATATATATAAATATATAAATATATAAATATATATAAATATATTCCCATTGAATTCCCATTTGATTCCCATTCATATCCCATTCATACCCCATTCATATTCCATGAACATTCCCATGTCCCATGTCCCCTGCGTTCCAAGCGGCGCTCACCAGGATTAGCGAGTTCAACACATTCACCAGGTAGTGAGCCTTAAGCGAAAGCCGACGGCAGGGCGGACTTGGCAAAGGGACAATAAATGATGCAAAATTGCGACTCAAGGTACTATATATATATGAAAATACAATAATATACATATATATAGTTATATAATATTGGAATAATATAATATTGGAATAATAATATATTTGAATAATATCATATGATAAAATATATATAGTATAATAAAATATAATATCAAAAAAACAGATCAACACATTTCAGCACAAACGGTGGCAACATAAATTACACATCATTGAACATAAATTTAAAACTTAACTATATCAGCACTATGAATTAACACCAAAATGTCTCAAACACGTTCAGCGCCCAGCCATCACAGTGCCCAGCCAGAAGGAGCGAACTTGCAGTCCCTGCAGAGCTGGTGAAGGATAATAAGCATGATGGTGGAATGGAAGGCGAATGGAAGATGAATGGAAGATGAATGGAACATGAATGGAACATGAATGGAAAATGAATTGCAAAAGGTAGGATATGACTGGGATGTGAATGGAATACGGTATTGGTTGGTAGCCTGTGGTAACAGTTTGCCATGGAAAATGACCATGCCCAATCAAGGTGCCCTCAAGCCTGTGCAAGGGAAACGTGCTTGGTCTTCACTTCCTGAAGAGAAGTAGGCGTCAAACTGAAAATATGTCCCCGATACATCATGGACATGGCGATATAGTAAGCATGACTAAGGCAACAATGTACAGTTACATTGCATTCATATGATAGAGAACCACAAACAACATAGATATATAATGGCAATATAAGACTTCAATCAAAACAGAATATGCTTTCGATATAAGTAACATGAAGCAAACATGAACAACAATATATGTGTATATAATTGTATATATGTATATCTCTCTCTCTCAAGAATGATCAACATATGAACTTTCTGTAAGTAACAATCAACAACCAAGAAGAAATAAACATCACGACGAAATCGCCGAAACATCACCATTTTCCCCAGATTCCGCTCCGCCAGGATGACCGCTCCGCGGTCCTTTTCCCGCACCAATTGCAAGGTGAAGGCCACGATGGAAATGCCGAAGGCCATGGGAGGATAAATGGCCAAACCAACCCTCAGTGCGCCACGGTCCAAAACAATCCAACCACCGACCAATCCATCGCCTGGCATTTCTACTTGTTCGTTGATATATGATACACAGATACATTTACATATACACATTACATATATATATATATATATCATATATTGTCTATAAGTATATGCATAATATATTTAGACACACGGATATGTATATATATATATATAAAATACATATACATATCAAATCATATCAATATACATAGTCTGGGGCTCGCACGCCTGCCCCGAAGATGCACCTCCGGCGGCGGACTTTCCACCTGGCAGGCACCGCAGGATGCCCGAGGTTGTCTCAAAGTGAGGGGGGTTTTTGTGGGAGATAAGCCAAAAACATGCTGATTTAATTGGATTATTCATGGGATTTGATATGGGATCTAATATAGGATTTAATATAGGATTTAATATGGGATTTAATCTGGGATTTAATGGCGATTAGAATGGGAAAATATGGGCTAAGATACAGTATGCCCTCTGGTACCTTAGCTGTTTGCAAGAAAGTTCATGGCCCTATAGATAATTTGCCTATTGCTGGAGTGTTCCCATAGCTATCTTAAGTTACTGGGAGGTAGTGGGTATTGTTCATCATAATCACACCTCATCCATGTGCATATGCCAAAGGCCCCTCCATCCTCTATGCCTTCAGTTCTGATTCATGGGTCTTGCGGCAGGCCTTCCATGAACACTGCCAGAAGATTCAGCATGGTGGGAAGGACCAGCACCTTGACAAGTCACCAGCTAGTTGCGCATACAATATGCCTACTAATATTTGCTGTGGATGCAATAAATCCTGCACCAGTTGATAGGTGGTTTATCCCACTATTCATAGGGTTTCAACCATCCTTTTGGTGGTGCAGGATTTCTTCCATCCACTGTATGAATTCGATGTCATTGCGATTTCATATCAGCCCCCTGGAAAACCTCTGGATACTGAATTACAATGACACAGTCAGCAGGCATCTGCAAGTCATGGCTTCAGAAGGGGTGTTGGACAATGACATGACTTGACGATACTCCGATACTCGACTAATGTGGGTAAAACAATGCCATTTTTACCACCCATGACTGGGAATGGTAAACATATATACCACCTATAAAACATAAAAATGGTTATTTTCCTGGGGAATGGTAAAAGTGGCATTGTTTTACCCACATTACCCCAAATGGATGGTTTATTTCATGGAGAATCCCCATCTATAAATGGGATGAGATAAGTGGGGGTAGCGAGGCAGCGAGGTCGTCCGGCAGCCCACTGCTGGACCAAGGCTCCCACACTGAAGATGGCACTTCGATTGGCCGTCGCAAGTCGGAGCCTTCCGGTGACGGATGAAGAAACACAACGGTGAGTTCCGACTGAGGTTCCCAATCCGATTATGATTGGGGGAATATTATTGGAATATCATTGGGTACCTTCACTTTTAACATCTTAAAAAATATTTAACTAATATTTGTTAAAAAATGAAACATTCCAATCATTGGATTAAGGCTCATCGTCCCTGAGATGGAAAACCTGAACATGAAATGCCAAAGCACTATAGTTGCAATCAAATGAAATGGCCAAATGGATGATGCCTTGGGAAACTGCATCAACTCCTTAAAACAGCCGCCTCACCCGCATGATGGCTTTGGCGGAGCGGCGCTCATCGGCATCTGCCCGATATACCTGGCGGGATGCATCGGATTCTGTCGGCATCACCACGGCAACAAACCCATCCGGTTTCTGTAAATCGAAACTTCGGCATGCACCCCCAAGTGGCCAAGTCCAACTGTTGGGAAACTCAAGTGGTTTTCCATGCCACATTTTGCGATGGCAACTGGGACGGCCTCTCCATGCTCTGGATCTGCTTCTTGTTCCACTTCGCGGAAGTCGGTATTTTCACCTCCCCAGGGGGGATGCAACCCATCACATCCCATCAATCTACGGAGAACCTCGGGTTTTGTTGTTTTTTGTTCAAAATCAAGGTTTCCTGCAATCGTACCCTTCATGCACTTCCAGAACCCATGTATAGTTCTGGTAGAATCTTAGAAGGCCTACAATCTATAATATGTAAATATAGGTTCTTGATGATTTGTGAAAGAAAATTGCAGGAAATCCAAATTTTGGCCAGAAAAAAATAGTGGTTTCTGGGGCTCCGACCCTGCGCCCGTCCAGATTCGGCGGCTTCACGTTCCGCCTGCAACCCATGGATACCGAAAGGTCAGATATTACTGGCCAACTGGCAACCAAAAAATGGAACACATACAACAAAAATTGGAATTTAGAATTGGATTGTACGGTAAACCATCAAAAGTGGAGATTTCATTGGATCTGGCTGATTTTAGGATTCACGCACCTGAAGATTGTTGAAACTTGCGGCCAGTTAAGGATGATTCCCCGGATTCTCATCATCCTTCCACTGACGGAAAACAGTGAAATCATTCATAATTCATCCAGATATATTGTAACGCATGGTTGGTTGGTGGCTGCAACCGGGCAATGTTAGTTTGTTGAAATCATCCCCAGAAATATGGCTGAATAAATCATCATCGCAAGAACCCCCAAACAGTGTTGGGGGAGTGGGCAGGTAATGTATGATGATGTGGATGGTGATGGTGATGATGATGATGATGATGATGCGGAGGATGATGATGTTGAGGAGGATGAGGATGAGGATGAAAATGCGGAAGATGAAGCTGAGGATGATAAGGTGGAGGATGATGATGTGGAGAAGGAGGAAGATGATGATGTGGAGGAAGATGATGTGGAGGAGGATGATGAAAAGGATGATAATGTTACGGAAGATGGGGTGGAAGCGAAGATGTTGAGGATGATGATGCCAAGGGGAGGAAGATGGTGATGTTGAGAATGATGATGTTGAGGAAGGGGAAAACGATGATGTTGAGGATGACGATGTTGGGGATGATGAGGTGGAGGGTGATGATGTTGAGGATGATGAGGTGGCGGGTGATGATGTTGAGGATGATGAGGTGGAGGATGATGATGTAGAGGATGATGATGTCAATGGGGAGGAAGAGGACAGACCCCTAGGCGAACACTTTGTACGAGCCTGCGCAGTCGAAATGCACTTCAACATTTCACAAGAGCCACTTTATACGGAAATTTACAGGAAAAAGGCTCGAGACCAGAGTGAGCACCCTGATCAAGCACCCACCTTTACAGCTACAGTACCTTAAGAACCCCTCAGTGTGGACACACTGTTTGGGGAATATTTGACACCACCCAGCAGATGGGTGTGGGTGAAGATGCTGGTAATGTTTGAGTTTGAGTTGTTTCTTAATTACCAGCCATGTTGGATTGTTAAAACATCAATGTAAGGCCAGTAGGATTGTAATAACACCAATGTTGGATTGTTAAAACATCCACGTGGATTGTAAGTCTTTCTCAACAGTTTTCTGCAAGGTCAGTAGGCCAGCCACCTTGTTCTAACACTGGATTTCTACCACCGCAAGGCAGCCAAAAACCAAGGGGAACCTCCGGAAATTATAATTTGTTGCACACATTTTTATACCCAGGGTGAACCCAGGTTTGCTGGTTTGGGGGCCATAGAAAGTAAAAATATATTTACCTACGGGTTCCCCGTGACTGGTGGATTAGTAGATGGAAACATCTAGGTATTGAGTATTCATATACAGTAGTTTACATATAATATATATATACCGCACGAAGTAGTTCGACATATCACATATTTGCAATGATAGAATTCACCTAGTTATTTCCAACAACTTAGCTACAGTATTGTTTGGGGGTACCCCTCTCTATCTCTCTCTATCGCCCTCTCGGAGCAGCACTTTGTAGTATATGTATATATTAGAGTCTAATCTCGCCTACTGTTGATGGTTGGAAATGTGTTTTTATTTATTGGTAATTGAACCATCTTCAGCAAAGCCACTTATCATTCATCATTATTTATCTATGTCAATATGAGTTGGTTTGTAAACCCCACAGTGGATAATTACATCGTTTATCTATCTATCTCAGTTGGTTTATAACCTTCACACACACACATATATATATATATACATACATCAACAATAATATACATACATATATTTAACATAGCCATGCAAAATCACCATTTTATAGCCAGGTAAACACCATCTATTTCTATGGGCCATCTATCCCATGGCTATGTTAGTCATAACCAGAGGGTAGTTTTTTTTTTGACCATCAACATCCCAAAGCCATAGTTAGCGCTGCTATTCAAGGTCAACGTCCAGGCCGCGCCGGTGTGAGATCTGCCTTCTCGCCCAAAGCCATGAAAACCTCCTCCAGGGTGGTCATGGAAATGCCTCAGCAGTGTGTGCTTTATATCTGGTGTATATCCTTCTGAAAGTATCTCAGTATATATCAGTCAGTCTATCTCATCTAATCTAATCTTCCCTTGTCCAATCTAATCAAATATAATCTATATAATCTGATCTATATAGTCCAATCCAATCCTAATCTTAATACAAATGATATTGAAGTCATACATTTTGACTCTTTATAGTCGCTTCATTCAAGTTTTGACATGAATGTTCTTGTGCGTAAGGGGCATCACTCAGATTCATTCAGCGGATATGTTGTGCAACCAATTGATCCAAGTTGGGGGATGCACTGCTTCAACAGATCGAATCCAGTGGATGTAGCCAATTTGAAGCCCGAGAATTGACCGTCGACAGCAACAACAAGAGCAGCAGCAGCAGCAACAACAACAACAACAGCATTGGATGTAATTGTGAATGTGATGTATGCGGCCAATGCTGGTTGCCAGCTCAAAATGTGCTTGTCAATTCGGATCAGCTACTGAGACAGGGACAAACAAGGCCATTTCTCAAACATATATACAACTTTAACCTTAATGGGCCATGCGGTAAATTGACCAACCCCCAAGAATGGCCCCAAGAAAAGACACTAAAAAAAAAATCTTAAGCGCATGGCTATCCATCCAGCCGACACGCATTGGGTCACCCAGAGTTCGCATCTGCCAGGGCACTGTACGTTAGGATGCCCATAGCCTTGCAGCACCCGCCCAAAAAGCATCAACAACTACGGGTTTCTCTGATTTTTTGGGGGGACAACCATCCAAATCCCGTGGTTACACGAACATCATCGCAAGTGGCATTTTTTGGGACGCACCCACATATAACGACGAACCCTCACGTTCCCTGTCTCCAACCAATTCTGGCACATGTCCGAAAGTTGTAATTACATATGTGAAGGCCCCTGCGCATTTTGGCAGGATTTTGCTACCAACCCAAATGTCCTTTGAAGAAGCAGTGTTTCAGCTTAAGTTTCAGGGCTTACTGACAGTGCATCAAGCCATCTTACACCTCATGGCCGTTCACCGCAGCCCAAAGCAGCGCACTTACTTCATTTTGGCTGTCTTCCCAATGCCAAAGAATTGTCTCCTTGTTGATTTGAAACTTACTGAGGTTTGCTGTTCGTCATTTGTGACGATCTAAAGGTCAATCAAACTCATCAAACTCTCACGAAAACCGGCGAAACATAAAATCAACCCGAAATCACGCAACCACAACAGCCGAACAGCGAAAAGCTTCGTCTCCGCTCAAACGCGAGGAACGATCTCCGTGCAGTGTGAGACTCGTTGTGAATTGAATCCCTTCAGGATTGCAAGAGGCGGTCTCGGTAGTCGCTCAACCTCGTTGCCTGGTTGATTTAGTCATGATTTATATATACCCTCTGGTAAACATACAAAAAGCTATTGAAAATGGCCATTTATAGTGGATTTACCCATTAAAAATGATGATTTTCCATAGTTATGTTAGTTTACCAGAGGGTAGGGTTACTAATTAGTTATCATCCATGATAATCTGCCCTTTTTATGGGAATTTTTATACAACTGTACCCTGTATGCATCAACGATGCACTTTGAGATTGCTCTTCTTGATGGCTTCAACACGTTCATCATCTTTATTCCCACGTTTTTCAGCGTGGACATGACTTCCAGACACACCAGGCACTGCAAAATACCGAAAAGAAAATCCTACATTCCCTACACAAGTCTGTACACAGTGATCCGCGGGTCGTAGGCATGTCGCAGGCAAAGTAATCAGTCCTGGAACGTTGCAGGGTGATTTCAAAGAATACCCTCTGGTAAACATACAAAAAGCTATTGAAAATGGCCATAGAAATAGTGGATTTACCCATGAAAAATGGTGATTTTCCATAGCTATGTTAAATTACCAGAGGGTACATCTCACATATCCAACCACCCTTGTGTTCGTCACATCTCAGGTAAACAAGGCGCAGTATGGAAATGCTCATCACACATCTTCGACAAATCATCCGTCGCCGGCATCTAGACTGCCGTGATGCTCAACTGCTCCGTGACGAGGTCAGTCCTTCTTCTTCCCTTTGCCCTGGCGACCAAACAATGGCTCTCCTGAATATGATAGGATCCTTATCCTCCGGATCCCTGCAGTGATCTAAGCTGACAGTTGAGAAGTCAATGAATCCCTGTGATTCAAAATAATGTATGCTGCCTTAACGGGGAACATGATGAATCGATGGATTCAGGGCTACTAATAGGGAACCCAAATGGAAGATGTTCCATTGCTAGCATTGCAAAGTCGTCCAAACCTCGGAAAACCACATCCAATCCAAGACCTGGTACCTCCTGAGAGTGGACATATCAACACCAAAGCTGAGAGTGTTAAATTTCTCAATTTCTCGCTTGAAAACAAATTCCGAACTGTTATTTGTACTCCTGAACGCTTTTTCCACTCCTGAACGCTCTCGAACGCTTTGGAACGCTTTTCGAACGCTTTTTAATTTTTGAACGCTTTTTTTCCACGTTTGAACGTCTGAACTGTCCCGAACGGTAAAAATCACTCGTGTGGTGTTTTCAACACCATGTCGCAACATGTCGCAACATTGTTGTTTTTTTGGTTTGGTGTTGATATTTCCACTCTCAGCAAGTACCAAGTAGTAGTAACAAGTCAACAAATAAACGTGATTCTATTTGCCATATCTATATCACGCGTACAAATAGATTGTCAATGTACAAGGATTACATAAACAATCCCTATGAATCACAATTTGTAATGCACCAATCTGAATAGTTCGGCCTGTGGGTAAGTGTTACCCCATGTTCCATCCATCTCCCAGCTAATGGCCTTCAGCCTGTTCTTTGTCTGATTCTTCTCCAGGATCTGCTCGCTATTCTGGATGGCCTCAGTCAGTTCAGCTACCTGTCCTGGTCAATGGGGCCATTTTTTCAATCGCAAGCATGTTAGTTTACCGGAGGCCATTGTGGCATTGTTTTTTTATCCAGAAGCACCCGGAAAAAGGTGAAAAAAACCATCAACATAATCAACATATCACTAATAGACTATATGCCAAGAGTTTTTGCATGGCAAGGTGGTAAGTGCATTTTTATGGTCGGATTCCAGCAACAGGTGGCCTGCTTGCGGCTGAAGACATCCTCATCGATTTCCTCATCGAAATCGTCCTTGGTTTCACCATCCAAATGTGGGGTGGTTCCATCAGTTTGACTGTTAAATTTGCCCGGAACAAGTCTCTTTTTGGTGCATCTTGGATCATCTTCAGGTGTAGTCTCTGCTGCAAGTTGTTCCCCGGCTATAGATTTATAATCATTTAATATGATTTATACATATGATTACACATGGATTTGCTCTTAAACAAAGGGGTTTCATGGGATGTCATAAGATTTTCCAGTGCCAGGTTTCTTTACAGTCAGGCTACCTCCCAACGATGCAGGGGCATTCAGGGGATATGAATCTCACAGAAATGGTGAGGTTGCAATCCGTTCCCCAACAATTTTTGATTAAAGACCCCCGTAAACCACGGTTTGCTGAGATTTACACATATACCATGGGGGTGTTATTTTTTTATCAATATGGGGACGGGTCAAATGTTTAGTAGTATTGACCGTCTATGCTTAGGGCTGGTCAATTTTGACCCATACGCAGATATAATTTATACAGTACCTAAGGATAAAAACCAACAAGACATGGTGACTTGATGGGATTTAATGGTGGTATAATCTAAGAATGAGTATGTTTATATGAATAAAGGATGCCATTCCGTCATCGTTTGCGCGTTCGTTGAACTCAAGCTTCGTCATCTTCGTTGTCTTCCTCCTTGTCCGTGAGCTTGATGCGGGCCTGTCTTCAAGACATCTTCCAATTGAGAGCTCAACCAGTCAGCAAAACACAGCTGCAGCATGCTCTCAGTTGGGTTTGCCGGAGAAAATGTTGTAATTTGTCAGGGGGAAATGGAAAAACATAGCAACAATCCCATGGTTTACCATCATTTAGCATAACTGGGGCTTCAGACATGAAATAGATATGAATAAATATCCAATAGTAATCTTGTGGCAGTGTTAATGGGGAATGATGGGTGTTCACATTGGATTTTGGGATACCCAGTGTTCAAACACACCAAACTTTCACCTCGGACTGGCTTCTCATCATCAGCTTCTCTTCGTAGCGCTCTTCATCCATCTGACGCTGCTGCTCACTGATCTCCTCGACAGGAGGAAAATATGCCCAGAGCATGGCTGCTAGTGGGATACTTCAGCAGACACCTAAGTTCAAGAGCCATGAGGAAAAACCTGTGCCATCAATTAGGCACATATAATACATATGCGATATTTTTATATATTGGCGTATGCCCACATGACATACACATGTTGTCGTGGGTGTGGCACCGTAAAATACAATGTATGTTTATATATATATATAATATTATGCATAAAGAAAGACAAACAGAACGAAAGAGATAAAGAGAGAGAGAGAGAGAGACATATACAATGCACATTGCAACAGGCTGGCAGTATGCGCCCAGCCCCCCCAAGACCGAAAGGGGTATGCCCTGAATCCCACGTCCGATGCTAAGCCGTCCTCGAATTTCGCTGTCAGACCTTGGCGCGCATTCCAAGGGCATGTCTTAGCGCATCCGAAGAAATTTAAATCAGTTTCCAAAGAGCCTACCCGCCTACCCCCAAGCCACTTCTTGTTCTTCTGACCACCCAACTTCCCAGACATCTCGTCCATTCCATATCTTTATCAACTCAAGTGCAAGCACCATCATCTTTCGGTCGATGAGGTCGAGGCGAAGTTGTTCTACTTACTGTAACTGACCCAGAAACATCCACAATGATTGAACAAACACATTCACAACTCAATAACATCACATAATATCAAAAACACTAGCTATCTCTCACACCATGTTTATTGCTTCGACCCGGTTCCACCACAGCTTTTATATCATTTTAGATCACCCCCCCGTATGTTTCTTGGTGAAAAAACATGAAACACCGGCATCAAACAACCTCCTTAAATATGGTGAATCTTAAATACCTATCATATCAAACAATCTAATTTTTAGCTGCAAATGTACTCATTTTACCAGTGATAGCAAAAGATTATAAAGTCCACAGTTAGTATCTAGCCAGTCGGTTGACTAAGGGTTAATAATGGTCATAAATGATAACCAATGAATACTAATGGTTATGATTCAATGGTCAATTAAATGATGCCCAAGTTTGATTGTATATTATTATTCAATCATTTAACTAATGGAAACTAATGATTGTGAATGATAACTAATGGATACTAATAGCTATTCTAATGCTATTCTATGTTATTATTCAATGATTATCAAATAATTGATAACAAATGGCACTATTAAATATCATGGATCTTAGTTGATAACCATTATTCAAATATTCTTCAATGATTATTAAATGATAACTAACTCATGGTTGACCCAGAAAAAAAAAAAACAAGGCACTGAGCAGTTTGGAGATCTTCTTCTCGCTCTCCTGCAGCACTTCCTCCACGGTCTCGTCGGTCATCTCTAGCCTAGTCGGTCACGGCAGGAGACGTTAGCACTTCCGACTTTGGAATTGGAATATAAAATGAATATTACATAAATAAATATATATATATATAATTGTATGTATCAAAACCTATAGATATATATATATATATGTTTATATAATGTTTAAACATGTTAACATTACTTTACTTTATACATTTTTATACTGCATATCTAACTATGCTAAATTATACTGATTGGTGGTTTCAAGATGTTTCGAAGCGGTTTAGCAAACAAAAAAGGGGATCATCCGGGATCATCCTAACTTGGAAGCGCCATCAAGTCGCGGTTGTGGAGCTTCACCCTCCAACTTGATGGGAATCAGCAGCCTTGTGTTCAGATCAGCCGGCTGCAACATCTGGAGATCTTCCCGGAAAACTCAGGTAGCGAACTGGAAAATCCCAATGGTTTTTTCAAAAAAACTCCAATGTGGCAAAAAAAAGTTACGGCAATGGGCACTGCTGGATACTGCTGGCACAAACCCGCATCGTTCACTTGTATGAGCTGCATCGTTCACGTCATTGCTGCTGTACAGGCTGTACAGACTTGCTGACCAGTGACTCTGCAAGGTGGCTGATACCCGCCTGCACTGCCAAATCCCCATGCCGAAGTCCAAGAATTTTCCCCATCGATCAGACATCAACCAGCAACTGGTGGAATTTACCAAAGTTTGGATAGTTTGGATGTGTCTCAAAGTGGTAAACCCCCAAAATGGCCAATGTCCGAAGGATACTCAGATATAGTGAAGATAAACCATGGAACAGCCAGGAGAATTCCATGGTGCCCAGCTAAAAAACGTCTGGCTTCGCTCGAAAAACGGTCGTGCCCGGCCTTCACATCGATCAACATCCTGAGATGTGGGGACAGGGGATTGCATCGTGGCGATTCATGAACCAGCAAAAAATCAGGGATTCACCCGCAGCACTGGGGAATTCACCACGGGGATTGAATCTGGGGATTTTTTTGCTGCAAAACTCATAAAGGTGATGGGAATTTCCTTCGAACATTTTCGAACAAAAAGGTGATGCATCCAAAATTAAATAGCTGGGAAGCTATGGATGTCCCCATCCCAGTAACTTACTGTTTGAGCATAGTTTAGTAGGGGGCTCACACGTGTTTGGGACCATAGAATGGGTGTGTTTGGTATATTTGAGGAGAATCTGGAATGATCCTTCAATATAGCCATGGAAAATCACCATCTTTACTATCAAAATAGCTGAATCATCCAACTAAATGGGCCATTCTCCATAGCCCAGCTAATTATATCTCCTATACCGGACATCAGGGAGGCTCACGGCCCAGCATCCGAGCCAAGCGCTCGTACTTGCCCCGGTTGCGCTCGCACTTCTCGGTGGCTTCGCCCAAGTGGCTCTCGAAGTCATCGATCGCCTGGCGCCGATCGAGGCGGGAGCATTGCGGATATGGTGATGGAGAGCCTTTAGTGGACCATAAGTTATCAGAATCAATCAGATAAGGTTTCAGAATCTATCAGAATCTATCAGATCATATTAAAGCAGCTTTTTTGGCTAATATAGCTATATATATACCTTAGGAAGCCAAACCCGCAAAAAACGTAGGGTCAGTGGAAAAACCCGAGGTTTCTGGCAGAAACCCGAGGTTTTCCAAACCAGTACTAAAATACGGGGTTAGTACGGGTAAAATACGGGGTTAATACGAGTTAAATACGGGTTCAGTACGGGTTTGAAAAAGAAAAACCGAGGTTTCGAGTCAGACCCTACAAATTTCCAGGGTTTGGGTTCGCAGGGTATATATATAGCTGCTAAATAGAGGCCCTAAGTAGATGTATGAAGTTCATCATCCCGCGCACCTGGCGTCGCCCTCCACCACCGCCGTTGGAGAACTTCAGCTCCTGAAACGTCGAAGATCGAAGGTTGTGACACTCATCTCAAAAGAGGGAGAAAAACCTAGAAAAACACAGCTTAAGGCTGATGAATCATAGTGCTGGGTCGATTGGATTTGGATCCATTCATGTGGTCCTAAAATGGGGATACTAAAATTTGGATGAGAACTGGGGGTACCCCCATTTGAGGAAACCTCCATATCATGATATCACATAGTGCTCCAAATAACTGAGAAGGTGTTTAGAGTTTAGACCCCAAAGACCAGCCCCAAATGCAGTCAAAGCTGTTTGGAGCCGTAGGGGTCATATTATCCATATACATTCTTGTCATTATTTGCCCATCCCATTGTCGGTTACATATGTTATATCCGATATATCCCATGAAAGTTGTTTTGGTTATACCCCTCATTGGATGTCATTGGAAACCACCGATCAGCAAATTGGATAATTCTATAAATCAAAACCCGGTGGAATGTATTGAAACCACTCAACAGATTGCGGCAAAAAAGCGCCCATCAACCTACCATTTGATTCTTGAGGTTCAATGGGGCTGCTTGGCTCCCCATCATCCCTGGCCGTCCCTGGCCCCATAGCCCCAAGATCCACGGCCACTAAGCAGGTCACGGGATATTTCAGCTTGGGAGGTAGCTATCAGATGTACGGTTTAGTGCATGTAAGGCCTATGCGGGCCTAGTAAGGGAATCTCTCCCAAAATCCCTAGATCAAGCCCAAACTACTTCACTTACCATCTGGTTATTTAACATAGCCATGGAACATGGCCCATATGTAAATGGTTCACCTATTAAAACTGGTGATTTTCCATGGCGAACTGTTAGTCATAACCAGAGGGTAACTGAATCCAAGATTCTGTGGGATAGTTACCCCCACCAATATATGCTGCTAGCCATCATTCCCGAGACCTCGCGACAATCGTTATCAGTGATCCAGACCTGTGGCCTCTATGGTGCTCTTTGTCCCTCTAAAAGGTGGTGCCCCTCCAGTTACACGCGGGCATATATATATATATACACATCAAAAGAACTATAGATATATCATGATATATATATATCTACCATAAACCTAGTTCTCGGATCTATAAACCAACTTAGGTAACGAACCGGGGCACCACCGTAGCGTATGTGATGCACCTTTCATGGCCAACGCAGTGATCCGAAACTCCTCAACTTGGGACCGCAAGCGACGACGTTCTTCTTGCAACTTCTCGATCAGCGCGTGGTTGTCCTGACCACTGAGGGATCATGGTAGGGATCAACAAGAGATGGATATGATGGGATATACCCTCCGGAAAAATTAACATAGACCCTGGCAGACAGGGGTTGGAAGAATTAGTTTCCATTAAAAATTGGTGATTTTCAGGGTCTATGTTTATTTACCAGCGGGTACGTATGTATTCACACATATTGCTCTTGAGCTCAAGTGTGGTGCTATAGATCCGCATCGTCCATCATCTAGTCAGATCAGGTCGCTGGTCTAAGGCATGGCTACGCCTCCGTTGAAGGCCATGGCCATGAAGTCAAGTCGACCCACAGGATTGCCGCATATTGCCGCCCAAATGATAGGTAAATGATATGAAAGTTGATTCATGACCTTCATAACCAGCTCAATTTCTTTTCTCTTATTTCGCGGATATATCATGATACATCTATACTGTACTTCGTTGGGGTTATACATTGGAAACCCAAGTAACCTAACTTTGGGGCCCCTTCTTGTACCATTCACCCGGTTTTCTCGGTCCTTCGTCAGCTGGGTGAGGTTCTTCTGAGTGTCATCCTGGGTCAAGAACCTCGGTCATGGCTAGGACAAGCCACCGGGGGTCCGGAAGGACTGGGATCTTTGGGGATGTTTTAGGGATTCAAACCCCTAAAAAGATAGAGAAACAAATAACGAACAAACATTGTAGCAAAAAATGCAGTAACCAACAAACATTGTAGAATGGAGATAAAATGGGGCTATCATTGTATGTTGGTGAATATTGGATTATACCCGCTGGTAACCTAACAGTTTGCCATGACAATGGCCATGACTTAATAGGTAAATCATCTAGTTTCATCATTAATGTGGCAAACGGTTCCATTACCAGAGGGAATGTCTCATCATCTTTTCAGGTGCCATGTTTGTTTATTGAGCACTGGACGGTGGTAACATGCGAGAACCATTTCCAACCTCCTGACTTCAAGGCTCATACAAATGCCATTATATAATTCAAGGTTTCTTGATGACAAAAAAACAACTGATGGGGATCCACAAAGCGATTAACATCGATTAACTATCCCCAATTCGGGGTTCATTGGCTCGGCTCGTTGCGTACATACCGATATCCGTACTCTGGAAATTGGGACGTTTGATGGGCACAAAAAAACACCCCCATTGATTAATCAGTGTCACATGCCATGAAAAAAAGTCAAAAGCGCAGCAAAGACCGTCCCTTGTATGAACCCAATAATGACTAGATACGACTGGCATGGGGTGTGCCTATCCGTTACCAATACCCACCTACCCGCAATCTTACAATGTGCTAGCACCACCAGAGTCATTCTGCTTAAGAACAGGCATGGAATCCATACCAGCCGGACAAGCTTCAGTGTTTTCAATTCAGTATGGGGCCCTGGGGTCTGATGACACCATGACATGATGACTTGGAGGAGGGCAAAGTGAACTCTGGTGATGATGATGATGATGATGATGATGACGATGATTGCGATGTTTCCTCTCCATCCCTCAGCGCCGAAGAGAGGAGAGCACGGAGAGCACCCTTTCAACATCCCCTGCGAGTTGATGGATAGATTGTAGTCATTGCGTTGTAAATATTGTTTCTGACCCAGTCAGGTCAAAATCCATCAAATTCAAGTAATTGCACTTGTTGGTCAAGATGATTCAAGATGTAGATTTGGAAAGAGGATGCTCTGCAACAAAAGAATTGACTCAAGAAAGCTCATTGACAATACCATGTTATGTATTAAACTAGATTAGCACCAACATCAAAGTTATATAGAGGCAAAATGAGAACACTAGATCTTGCAATGACTTAATTATCCACCCCTCAGGTAAAATATTTTCATAAGATATAATCCTGATGAATTATATAAATCCAAACATCCAAGTTTAAATAAGTATTGTACGTGAATATTCATTCATATCAAAAATATTGAAAGAGTACATAATGAGGAAAGTCATGACTTAGTGAAAAATCACGACCCATTTTATGATGAATCATGTTCTGTCTAAAAAGCATGCCATTCCTTTCAGGTAATAAATAGTCGTTGTTGTTTAAACGTAAGGGATGTGCCCATCTATAAAACAAATACCACCTTTGATGACTTAGACGTTGATAAAATGAATGAAGTGCCTGCCGAAAAAAAGTAGACAAAAATCGGCATACCCGATTCCAAGCATATCAAATAGACCGGCCCCGAGGACTGACCATAAACAGGTGGTAACATGTTGGTTTATGCTGGTTGGTGGTTGACCTACCCCTCTGAAAAATATGAGTTCGTCAGTTGGGATTATTATCCCCAATATATGGAAAAATAAAAGCCGCGTTCCAAACCACCAACCAGCATCTATTTATAAACCATCCGCAGTAGTTTTTATCATTGGATTGTACTCTCCACTGTCCACAAAGATGGTTGGAAAATCCACCATTTATAGATAAAATGATGAACTAATCTGGAAAAACCACCATTTATAGATAAACTAATCTGGAAAATCCATGAAAATCAATGAAAATCCATGAAAATCCACCATTTCTAGATGATGTTCCCATGAATAACCATCGATTTCGAGGATTTCCCACGTTTGATGACACCGAAGAAAGCTACCGCCGAAGAAAGCGCCATGGAACTTCTGGATGATCTCGTTGGGATCGTTGACACCCGTCGCCTGAGGATCCAAGATGCGACCCATGTCAGGTGGATGGGTCATCCTTAACGGTAGACACCCAAGGTGTACCACTGAAATCCAGGGATTTCTGTTTGGAAAACTACTGTAGCTATTGAAAATGACCATAGAAATAGTGGATTTTCCCATGAAAAATGGTGGATCTTTCCATAGTTATGTTAGTCATTACCAGAGGGTATTGGGATTTGGGATGATTTAGGTATTTGGATGTGCCGTTTCGGTGCCGCATTCGTCTGCATATCATCAGGGTTGTGGGTCAAATCAAGACCTATACTCACTACAGATCACTACAGATCACAGTCATTCTCCCAAATCGGGATTATTAATCATCCTAATCATCAGAATAATCATCAATAATTTGGATAATCATCAATCGATCCATCTTGATCCATCCCACCATCCCATACCCTCCCAGCAATTCTCGTCCTGATAATCCTCCCCCCAGAACCAGCTAGTTTCACCCACCCCCTTTGGGGCCGTGGCACCTCTTTGATCTGGTTGAAGGCATGGATGAAGAGTTGGATCTTCTGATCATCTTCGGCCACATCTGCGGCTCCTCCTGGATTCATGGCATCTTCACGCTTTATTAGTTGGCTTTATTCACTAAATGGTCATACATATATATATATATATATACATTGAATATGTATGTGTTATAATTCCATTGATGTTAATATGTTCATTTCGACCTTTACACCGGAAAAAAGTGGTCCATTTCAGGAATTAAGGGCCTTAAACGATATCTTCCAGGGACCCATGGCTTGGTTGGACTGCGGCCTGATGCTTCGGCGGCAGGAAGGTCTCGAGCTTGCGCGCGTTGGGCGTTCTCAATTTCCTGCAATCCGTCCGTGACGGTGGGAGGAAGTAGTTGACCAAGAAGTTCATGGACATGGGTACATGACATGTATGAAATATTATGAAATGTATATATATATATATACAGTATATATTGAAATATTATGAAATTATGAGACTCTGAAAGAATAGCACGGCAATTGGAAATCACCTATTCAGAAGGAGGTTTCAGTGGGAAAATCATCGAGGATCTTCCAGCACGCCATGGGAAAGAAGCTCCTGCTGTTGCTGCTTTTGGATCCTTTCCCGCATCTCTAAACCTTGGCGCTTTCAGTGCTGCCAGGAAGAGAAAGGGGTGATGGGTGAAATTCAGTGAAGTGTGTGTTGTTTCTTGGAAGATATCATCGAAATATCATTGACACTATCTGGTTGGTGGTTTTAACCCCTCTGAAAAATATTAGTCAGTTGGGAATATTATTCCCAATATATGGGAAAATAAAAAATGTTCCAAACCACCAACCAGCTATATACAGAACTCAGATGTTATCATGAATGCCTGAGTTCTGAAGAACCCATTGAATCGAAACCACTGGCAAAACATGTCCGCCACATGAACAAAGAGTGGGCTGCCCCTACTTCCAACAAATAACTACCATGCCAGGTTTCACAAGGTTGGTTATACATCCCATATCATCCCATGATGTCCCCCACCACTGTCAAACACACAATAGGTGCCAATTGGGGCGTGCGATGAATCATCTCATTTGCTGAGTTTGCAAACAATAAGCAAGTGTTTCCAAAAAAAGACACCCTTTTAAATCCAATGATGAAATTCGGTGCTAACCAATAACAAGACATAACCACGCTGTTCTTTTACGAAAAATATAGAGGTGCTGGTGTGGTTTACTCATATGATTCATATGTGTCTTTCTTATCATCTTACCCATAGGTTGATTTTTTGGGATGGGACGCCTTCAGTTTTTCCAAGCAACGCTTGTTCATCTCCACTCGCTGCTCCACCAACGCCTGGAGCAAGGGTGCCAAGGGTGCAGGCCAGAGGTTCCGGGAATATAACCATCGTATAAACCCCCACAAGTTGGGATATCTTGAAATGTAGCCCCTATAACTGTGGTGAAAAATGAGCACTCCGAACTGGAAGAACTGAAAATGCACTAAGATCTTCCAAGTATGCTTCACCTGACTGTTGATTTCTTTTGGGTGAATTTGACTGAGGGTAAAGTTCAAGGATTTTAACATGGTGGATTTACCCAGCTAAACCATATCACAAGTCATTAACTGGGTGATCTTGAATGATTTACAATGGTTCTAAGATGTGTTCTAACGGATTTTGGATATCTTGCTGGATTTTAAACAGTTGTTTATCTTTCATGGGAGCACCTAGCACCAGCACTTCCTGTTCAAAAAGAATGCTCCAATCGACCGTGTTTGGCCCCATGGTTCCCCAGCGATTTCTCCATCCGATTTCCTCCTGATTTCCTTTTGATTTCATGTTTTTCCATTGGTTTTCCATTGTTTTTCCATGTTTTAACCATGGTCAAAAGTCCATCGATCCTGTGGTTCCGGACCTTCTTCTCCTGAACTTCCTTGTCTCGCTGGTTTCTCTCCTCCATGACGCCCTGCTCGAAGCGATGTAGCCTGAGATGTCGATAAATCTGGGATCCCCTAAGGTTCATGTGAAATAACACCTGGAAAGGTTGGGAAGAACATGGAGCAAAAACACGGAAAAACTTGCGCATTGATGGAAAAAGTGGAAAAACTGGAAAAGTTGAAAAATGAACATGGATGCAAAAGTTGGGCAATCCTGTAATTGATGTTTTTTTCTTCTATTCTAGATTCATCTTCAAGGGCATAGTTCCGCACACATGAACGCCATGGTGGAATTCCTACAATTACATGGCTACCGGGGAGTATAGCCTACTATACAACCAACCAACGATGGCCTTTTTAGATCTTTATTTTTGAGTCACACATGAGACGTTGGTGTGACCCAACGTTGAGACCTGAACGCTTCCCCCACTCCATTGGAGATAAATAAATTTGTGAACCTCTAGATTCGAGATTTCGCGGGTGCTATGGTCCCGAATCGTCAAAAACATGGGGGAGAAAAAGAAACAATGGAAACAAAATGAGCGATGAAGATGGTGACAATCCTCATAAACATGACATGAACACAGTCCTAAAAAACTGAGCATGGAATGGCAAACGCCTGAGTTCCAAGCTCTGCTTGAGCCATCTCCTGGCCGTTTCCGGATGGGAAGATGGGAACCAGGGTGTCTTTTCTGAATCCCAACCAGGCCGCATGGCCATTGAATAGGAAAAATGGAACGTCAACTACCCAAAATCCCACCCAAATCATCCCATCATTGGGAGGGTAAAAACCCATGGTGTCCCGTAAAGATTTTCCCTTCAATATAAGCCAATCCGATGAGAAATGCGAAAGTTCCCAAAAAATATGCTTACCCTGGAACATCACCCATTTTTTATCTGATGATGTTACAATTTAAATGCTTATATATATATATATATACGTATTTATAGGGGATGTGCCATTGCCATGCTTGATTACCAAAGGTACAGTAGCAAAGTTTCAACTGAGGCTCCAAAACAGGCAACAAACATCAACAAACAAAAAAACAACAGCCTCTGTGGGTGGCTGAAGGTTTCACACCATGAAAGTGTGTCAGCTTCAAACCGAGTCCTAGAACTTAGCCAGCCCATGCGTTTTTACCCTCAAAACATATGCAAACTGTAAACCTAGCAAACCTGTAATATGATGGGGTCCCAAAAAAAATATCAAAGACCAAAACCTGCAAATTGCGACAATCAATGGATTGGTTTAAGGGAAAATCTACAGGAAACCATCGATTTTCCCATTAAATATGGGGCTTTCCTGTAAATTTTCCCTTAAACCAATCCATTGCGACAAGCTGCAGCCAAATGGCAAAATCCTAATCTGGCTTTCTCCTTCTTAAGATGGCCGTGACTTACGAGGATCTTTAGTTTCCACGATTTTCAGACCCCAAAAACTCACATGGTTGTATACAAGCCCATTATTGTATACTCCTTATTCATTTATATATATATATTATATATATATATATATATCTATCTATGTATATATATATATATACATTATATATGTCTATGATATGTGTCTGTCTATCCATCATGATTAAATATAATATACGTATATCATATTTCCATGAAAATAGAATATTCCCACATAGATGACGAGCTTTACCTCTACAATTCGTCCGCACCTTGGCGTGGTACGCATCGTGGGACAGCAGCAGGAGCTCTTCATAGTCTCGCTCCTTGGCCTGGGATTGTTCCCCCAACGAAATAAGGAGCTTCTGGGAAAATCATCGTTAAATCCAGGGAAATCCAGATTGAACTCCGAGAAATGGTAAGATCCACAAATGGAAGTATCATCTGGTTATGACTCACATAGCCATGGAAAATCACCATTTTTAATAGGTAAACCATCTATCAATGGGTCATTTTCCATGGCTATGTTAAATAACCAGATGGTATCATCTACTGAATCGTCCAGCACCCCGGGCCATATCAGATCACCAAGATATCACCAAGCTCCAGCGATGCCCGGGTCGGCCTTCAAGGTCCTTTCGATGCCCGCCAGTTGGTTGTCGAAGCCCATCCTCTCCTGCTTCAAGCGCTTCACAATGGCCTGCCGTTCAGGGATACCTTGGGATACCTTGGGATACCGGGCAATGTCCAAAACCCCGGGCAGTTGGGATACATGGTGGTGGATTATACGATCCAAATCGATCCAATATTACATAATATGAGGATTATCAGTTTTATGACAGATATGACAGTCAATCAAGTTGATGAATTTGCATTATAAATTGTAAGGCCTCAACTGGGATGCAAAATGATGATCAACATCATGGGATGTGGGCCCCGGCCCCGGCTCCACATGGCTCGAGACAACTGAACTGATCAATCGAACAACGAGTACCAAATGCGCAGAGCTAACCAGACTTGGAGTGACCACGAGTTGATTTATTCCTGTTTGGAACCCCATTTGTGATTCTATGATTCAGAAGTGGAAGCAATGATTGCATCAAGAATGGTACAAACATAAATGCAATATGCATAGCCCCTGGCTGATTACTTGGGGTGCCGACCTCAAGCAGTGAAAAAAACATCTCTTTACCATCGAAATTGACGGGGTCAAATCAATGAAGGTGGCTTAACGCATACCTGATGAAACCTGATAAAGCGGCTCGGTTGGCCTCCCCCACGTGTGAAAATTAAGAGAAATCAACTCCTAGAATAGCTGAGTTGCTGGTCAAAGCTCCAAACATGTATATAATACACTATGGTTCCTGATGTTCCCTGCAAGCTTCAAATGTTCCACACGCAATCAAGCCAATGATCCATGATGATCCATGCTGAGCATCCGGCGATCACTATGGCCAATGATTGGCTAATTCACCCTAGGTGGCACCTCGTAGGTCTTGCGAATGCTCTGAGCCTAGGTGCGGCCCAAAAGAATCGAAAAGAGCCACCCAGCCCGAGAAATCTCCCGAAATTTCGATTGCCCTCCCGGTATCCCCGAGCTACATGGAGGTTTTAGTGGGAGGTTTTGATGTTTTGGGTGGCTGAACTCATCAAAAAGGAACTGTGATGGGGATCTAAACCCAAAAATTAGCCACATAAAAAATTAGATCCTCAGGAATCACCAGCGATGATCATCATTGGTCAATCATCCACCATTCTAAGATGGACAAGTATGGAAAAGTATGATAGATTTTAGGGATGTACTTTTTCTTGAAGGTAAAAGTCCTTGACCCATTTATTGATGCCACCAACCACTTTTACCAACGGGCCTCATTGTACTTGATCATCGTCTTGTCGAGACGGTTTTCTAAGACCTGACCATCAATTCTCGCATTGCCAGCAAACTTGGGTCAAAAAATCGCACAAATTGCCATGTTCTGTTAGTAAAGCAATAGGATCCGCCATCCCAAATTTTACATAATTTTATCATGTTCATGGGTTTTTTAACCATCAATCCATATGGCTTCTGGGCTGTACTCACATTGCTATCTCTTGGTATCTGTTAGTCCCTGGGATGATATCCCTTACCATCCCCATGAACAGCCGCCCGCGCCCATTCCACGGCCAGCGCCCCACACGAATGTGCCGCATCTCAGGGGATGCCTCACCAGATTCCCATGTCCAATTGCTTCACGTGCGTCGCCATATGGCCTTTGGCATTATAACATCCCGAAAATCATCAGTCCAATAATAACAAGAAGAATACATATATGAATCATATGAATATATTAACCAATAATTCATACTTTGGATGCTATTGGATCCTACATCATACTAGTGGCATTCTGGATTACAAGATCCCAACATATCCTAACAATAATGGTCGGTATATATTATGATAATTCACCAACCTGAATTAAGACAATTTTGGGATAGTTACCCCTACACTCACCATCATTCCAGTGACGTCGCAGTGAAATTTGCAACATAATTTATCCAGATTTATAGTGCAAAAGAGTTACCCTCAGCCAATCTAACATACCACCAGCTGCGGAAAACTACCATTTCTATCCATTTGTCATTGGGACATGTTTATCTATATATAGGGCTATTTTACATAGCTAATATAGCTACTGGAAATTTTACATAGCTATTGAAAATGACCCATAGAGATATTTGCCTATTCTCTGGTGGTGATTTTCCCGTTCGTTGTGTTATAATATGTTATGTAGTTTGCCAGAGGCTATGTTATATAACCAGTTGGTACTAGCAACTGTTCCCACAATGGGGCCTCACTGGAATGCATCGTGGCGCCAATGGACAGCTCAGACTTCTTGATCTCCAGCCTAAAGGTGTCAAGGTGTCCAAACATTGGGGGTTGCCACAAAGAGATTGCTTTTTTGCTGGGGAAAATGCGGGAAACAGATGAGAACTTATTGCAAAATGATGTTCGAAATTTCAGGATCCAGTGGATATGTCGTCCTTTTATGGCTTTTTTTGGGGTCTGTTTTCCCAGATATTTTGTTTGGGACGGTGACAATGACAAACCCAGTGTTCAGGGTGATTGTGCTGCAGAATCCCGGCCATTTGTCCCTTCCTACTAGGCTTTGATGACAGCCCCGCAAAATTCGATGCTTCCAATCTCTGGAACTTGGAGATTTTTGGCGGCTCGGCCGGCTCGGCCCCACTTTTTTCATGGCGATGGTGTGGAGTTTTTCAAGCGCTGCAAGGTGTAGCAGGGAACTTTGGATTTCCCTGCCCTGTACAGCTGCAGCGGCTGCCAAAACTACTGGCACTTCGGTACCGTGAAGCAATCCCTCACAGGTTTCTGCACTGCTTGACCTAGTTAGGGCCCAAGGAGCACCGGAGCATCTGGTTCTAACCGCGGCACCGGAGCACCCAAGCACTGCAACACAGTGCCGCATTCTGCGGAGAAGACCCAAGTTTCAGGGCCATTGCCGGCAGGACTTGTGAAATATCCCGCCACCAGCATGTTGCCGGAGGCTGGCTATCCAATGTAATCAGCTGGGTCAAAATTACCAAAAATTGGGACTGTTTCTAGAAATGGGCCAAATTCTGTGGCCCTTGGGTCTCAAATTATGGACCGATATTCACATGTTCTAGCCCAGTATTGTTTAGTGTCGCCAGCCCCTCAGCCTGCCCCATTCTGGGTTTTCCCAGTCAATCTCTGCCAGAAATATCCAAAGAAATAGGAGAAATTCGAGAAGACCTGAGCAAGCAGGTCACATCTCTCTTTCCAAAGAATATGTTCCACTACAATCCCGAATCATGCTACGTGATTCCGATAGGTCTTCATGATACCATGCCGGTGCCTACTGGCAGCAATGGTGATTCTGCCCCCAAAGGTGACACCCCCAAATCATCGATTGTAAAGAAAGCTTGTTAGTGGTTGTTGGAGGTTAGCCCCCCTATAGGAAACACTTGCTGTGATTATATGTGCATGTATTATTGGCATGATCACCATTGGGGGCTGGTTGCATCTGAAAAAAAGACGTTTCAATCTGAGGCGCCAAGTTTGGGAAGAACAGGAACGCCCAGGAAACACCTTGGAACAGAGTTGCCACAATCCCTGGGCCATCTGCAGGTCCTAGCGCTGCAGCTTGCGGCTTAAAGCTGCTGCTGCTTGGTGTTTGAGGTCATGTTGTTTGGGGGTTAGGGGCCATTTTGGCAGGTCAATAGCTGGAATATGCTGGAATCTAGCGCTAGATTCACTCTCCAAAGCAAGCCCGCTGAGACATTTCTTGGCCAAAAAATGGTGGCGTGTCAAACAGCTTCAGTTGAGAGTCCTTTCTCCTGGATGATCACTGGCTCGTGTTTTGAGACAGGTTCCTGTGTCTCATTGCCGTCCTTCCCTAAGGCCTTGCACATGCCTTAGAGGGGGAGCTTCACCAAATCTGTGAGGCTGGAGGCATCAGAATTATCGCTCACCTCTGGCACCCCTATGAAAAAAAGGTTTGAGTCAGATATGACATGTTCCTCCCATTCTTCCTTCCATTTATATAAAACTGCTTTGAACCGAATCCACTAAGCAACCATTCGCGGGGATTTTTTGCCAAGATACTAGCAAACACAGCTTTTGACTTCTTGTCAGCTTCCTTTTGCGCAGCAACTGCCTGTCTCAGGAGAACTTTGGCATCTCGATTCTCCTCGTCCAATTGGAGAACCTTTTTGCAGTCACTGATGCACTCAGTGAAGTTCTTCAAGCCCATCTCCGCCTGAGCTGAAGAACCACCAAGCATCCAAGAGGGAACCTCTCGGTAATCTGCAGTTTCGTGTGGTTTCCTAAGGTTTGGTCATTTTTCAGATGTAGCTGTTTTGGACATTGGATGACATCAAGGGAAGCACCTCCAGCCCGATGGATGTCACAATGGTCATCCCTCGCTGCCCGCCTGAGCGCGGCGGAAGAGGGCCTTGACATTTCGGCACGAAGGCTCCTCCAACACGAGGCGACACGCCACCTTTGCTTCGGCAAACATCTGCAGCTTCAAAAAGCACGCGGCTTTGTTCAGTTCGCAGGTGAATTTGAGCTCTTTGGCCTTACCTGCCAAGGCCATTTTTGCAACTTTGAGATGGGAACATCGAGACAAATTCCCTAACGGTCTAACGTGATAAACAGATTATAAGGCTAGATACAAGAGTTGTTTCTTATGCAATAGCGTCAACATAGATTATATATATATATATATATGCACAAACAATTACAAACAAACATTAGTCACTATTCACAATCAGAATGTACTATAGACTATAATGATCTTTTATGTACATTTATGTACTAGATCGCAGGGATGCAGTGTCTCTGAACACCGCCTTCCATTTAGCACCATCTTCCAAATCACATAACCTTGAACAGCCCGAGAGTTCAGATCAAGGTTGAGCCAGCTTTTTGTCGATTTTCAGCCTCGCCTCGAACTTCGTCGTCAAAATGTTCCACGTAGGTCAACAATTCCTCAGTGACCATGTGGTGCCCATCATGGCGTAGGGAAGGTAGGAAAATTGTTTTTTTCATAGGATTTAGCTGCTTTGTTATGGGAAAATCATCTCTAAGTCGCGGTCATATAACCAACGCGAAGATCCCTTCTCTCAAACATTACAGAATTACCACCCCCGAAAGTCCTGATTTAACATTGGATCTATTCATGAATAGATCAAACCTTTTCATGGCCTATATCATGAGTCTATGTCTAACGTGTGCTCTTCAAAGGCCGGATATTTCATATCAGGAGGAAGGAAATGTAGGGGATCCTCCCACCGAAAAAACCAGTGTATTCCTAGCATCTTCTGGTAGTCATTGCTTAAGGGCCCCCTGTAATGCCAACCCAAGATTTATAAACCACCACTTTACTCATAGGGCTACCCGCTTTAAAAGTAATGAATCTCTTTTTTGGGAGGTACCCTCTAGTCAGTAATGGACAGATACCAACAGTGATCGGAATTGCAGTAATCAACTATATCAACTATCAACCAACCATTATTTCTGGATGATTAGCTGATCTCCCCTGTTTTTTTTGGGATAAATCCACCAATTTCCAACAAAAATAGTGGACGAGTCGCTGTGACGCTCTTGTACCTCAACACAGCCATGGCCCAACGGCCGGCCTTGAAATGCCGCGTGCCCACCTCTTTTCGAGCCGATGCTCGTTCCACTTTCCTGAGAAGAGCTGGTGTCAAAGAATTGGATGATGGGAAAATTTACAGGAAAGCCCTATATTTGATGGTAAAAACCATGATGTTTCCTGTAGATTTTCCCTCAAACCAACCCAATGATGGTGAGCTCGTGGGGAAGGAGACGAATGGATACCCCTGGCAAAATCTTGAAAAAATAAACATCAATTGAAAATGAATTGAAAATGGTCTTGACTCCGGCAAGCAAACGGTAATGGAAAATCTCTCATGTATGAATCATGCATATGTGATTATCCTATGAAAACTAGCAGATGAATTTCCATTATGATATAAAGCCTCCAGTTCCCGGGGAGTTTCCATTGCCATGTTTGATTACCGGAGGGCACAAGAAATGATCTTTGGGGATTGGCAATATGAACACTGGAAACCATTCAGCTCGTATGGCTTCCAAAAAAAAGTCCATGGTACACTGGTACACACACACACACCTTCCCCTCCCCCAACAAACATAGACCCTGCCATGACTTGGGGGTTTGGAAGACTCCATTCCTCCAGAAACTAGAACAACCCCCCATCATCTTCTCAGGCTCATTCCATTCAGCTGAGAGGCTGCTGACCCTCATCCATGCCCAAGGCAGGTGCCTGCTCAAAGCTTTCTAAGGAAAGGGTGAGGAAAACCTCCGGAAGGTCATCTGGAAGATCCAGCTGTGCACGCAGCGAGCCGTCAGGGCACTTCACCTTCAGGACGGCCTGCACCAGAATCTGAAGCGGAAACTAGCAGTGGAAGTCCATCTGGAGCCCAATAAAAAAATAAATAAAAATCTGCCCATTTTGGGATGGTTTATACTACCCATTTCTGGATTTGTTTTTAAGTAATTGCTTCTACCATATGTGGGGGGTTCTCTCCTATACCATGTCTGGTTATATCTTAAATATATAATTGCTTCCATATGATTGTTTTCTGGGGCCTTCTCTCCCTCAGCCCAAGCAACCGGCATTTTCCATGGCCTTCTCTCCTTTCTTCATGTCCATGGCTGCGAATTCCAAGGCGTCCGGTACTTGCCCATCGCCTGAAACAAAGTCAAGGAGCCTTTTCCTCGGCGCGGCGAGGGGTGAGTGCAACAATTGGCGGCACACCGTGGATTTGACCCCCTCGTAAATTAACATAGACCCCAAAAATCACCCATTTTTAATGGAAGTTATTCTTCCAACCCCTATGAGGGTCTATGTTAATTTACTGGAGGGTAGCTATTAGACTTGCATATATTTTATGCTGTATATCCTTTTGCCTATAAAAATAGAGTGGCTGGTTGATGGTATATAGGTCGTCCTATTTCTCGGATGTCTTTGGGAAGGGCTGCACATGGCTGTGACTCTTGCACTCACCCTCGGGATCTTTTGAGTCAAACCACGCCGCTGAAAAAGATAAGTCATAGAGGATTGTACATATATTATACATTATTATACTACATATCACATTCTTCTTTAAAAAAAAAAAACGTGCTTTAGCAAATTTTAGCACATGTTCATGTCGGTTTAGTGTTTAGGGTACTTACAAACATTCAATGATCACATCATCAAGGTGTGGCTGAGAAAAGGACCAAGTGGTCACCAGATTTGGACAAATTTGGTGGTCGAGAAACCCTCTGGTTATGACTAACTAACAGTTCGCCATGGAAAAAATCCCATGTTATTACAGTAATAGGTAAACTATCTATTTCGATTAGGGCCATATGTTCCAGTTCGCTATGTTAGTCATAACCAGAGGCTACCCATTGTTATGGATAGTCAGCAAACATAGATATATGATATGGACAACCCATATGAAAACCCATGAAAACCGCAGAATGATCTACCATCTGGTTATTTAACATAGCCATGGAAAATCCCTTATAAATGGAGCTTTCAATGGGAAAATCATCTATAAATGGGCCATTTTCCATGGCTATGTTAAATAACCAGAGGGTACAAACACCCATGGCTGTTCTCTCCCAGATCTCCAAGAGACTGGAAGCTGAGGTTTTTCCATGCCTCAGCAGCGGCAGCCTCTATAGCCAGATGCACGCTACTTCCATCCTGAGTTGCTACGGAGGGGAGCCTCCCAAGGGGATGCTGGAGAAGTAAACCCAATGCCACTTTTACCATAAACCAGAGGTTGATCAACTTGGGTATACCCCTAGCAATGGGGATTAAAAATGCCCCCCCCTCCAGTCATGGTTAGTGAATGATGTGAATGGGATGCTTTTTTGGTAGATTCATGAGCATGAGGTCGATGTTCGGATAGTTTTGGAGCTATCCGAGTATCCCATTATCCCCAAAGCCCAAATGACCACTTCTATACCACTTCTATACCACTTCTAAACAGCATGTCAAGCATCTTTCGGAGTCTCATACCCCTGACCTTCGACGATTTGTTTCTTTATAAGGCTCTTGTCCTTTTGGAAGGACACATCCTTCGTCTCGTAAATCTCTTTCAAAGTGATAGTCACTGCAAGGTCCGACATTTTGATGCCATCCCCAAAGTCAAGTTCTCTTTGACACTCGAGAAGGGCCACCTCCTTCTTTTTCATTCCAACCAGGCATCGATCGACAACAGCAGATGCATCGCCGAAGTTCATGGAACCCAGGGTGTATTCCAAGTCATCCACTTCCTTCAAGACCGCCTTATCCGGTGCCAAAATTCGAAGGCCGAGGCAAACTTCCTCCTTCAACTGAGGCGTCTTCCAGCCCGTGCCTTCCTCCATGGTGGTCTTGATCACCGATCCATCCTTCAACAGATCGCTCCTGGCTTTCCAGGAAATCAACTCAACCTCATAGAGAAAAGTAGCACCTTCCGGAACCGAAAATTTCGAACCTTCCATGGCCTCCATTGGGCCCTCCATGGCTCCAAAGTCACCAGTCATGGTGAACTGAGCCAGCTCGCCCCTTCGCATGGTCGGAATGCCCAGCTCCAGACCTTTGGCAACCTGCCCCTGGCCCAGGGTGAAGCAGAAGGGTTCGCCACTGCGAGAGGAGTAGAATTCACGAAACTCAGGTGGGTTGGTGACGGAATGCTTGGCCACATAATGGATGGTGACTTCATCTCCCACTTTTGGCTTTAACCACTGCGAGGTGCCAGCTTCGGTCAAAATTTCTTTCGAAACTCCATCAGGTAGTGGGAACTCGGGTTCCGACAGGTCGTCATACCCATCCTCATCCAGAGGAAAGTCCTCTGCCATTGGCAATGCAATGGCTTCCGTCCCGCCGGTATTGAAAGGGCCACCCTAGCCCAACAGCTGCGGGACAAAACAGCTCAGATCTGGAACAACAACCACAACCACAACCACCACAACCACCACCACCACCACAACCACCACAACCACAACACCAATACCAACACCAAGCACTGAATCACTGACTCACTGAATCACCAAGTACAGTTGAAATCTTTGGCACCAGGCTGATCTAAATACTCCCGCTTCTTCTGGCTCTCATTCTTCAACAGGTCGTACCTGAGTTGAGATCGACAGCGGTTTTTCGCGAAGTTGGAATCCATGGATGAGATGCCCTGCCCCCCAAAAAAAAACATGCTGTCTACATAGATATTGTGTGTGTGTTGGTTCTGCCTCTGTGCATTAGATATCATATATCATAAATCATATAATTATCATATGATCCCTGCCATAGCCCCCCCCACATGCCAGCATACCTTGGAATAATTGGATATTATTCCAGCCCCATTGCACATGTTCTGGGAAAACATTCCACTATGTCACACGACATCGGGAATAATTAGGGTAAATTTAGGGCAACCCCCCCCCTCTCCATTCATATAAAAATACAAGTTGTAATCAAATTTGGTATATTTTTGGCATCTGTTGATTGAGGTTGTATTGCCACAAACCACTAGAAACCTAGTGTCAGAAAATCTTTTCAAATAAACTCAAAGGTTTATTGGGATCTTGAAAGTTTTGCTCGTTCCTGGTTTCAAAGATGTGCTCCGGCAATGCTCAACCTATCTCAACCTGTGAAGAATTCCTAGGTGTTTCCTGGTGATGCCCAATTTCCCCTGGGTTTAGAGTGGAGAGACAGTGTAACAGTCCAGAGGTGAGCTCTGGCGGTACTGTCGGAAGCTCATCTAGGAGAGGATGGTATCCTGCAGTGTCCTTGGAATCAATGGGTCCCTTACTACGTGCCGCATGAGTTTTGGCTGCTACGTAGGCTTGTTGAATCAGCACTCCATGCTGCGTCGCCATGATGTGCAGGTATCTATAAGCCCATATGGCGGCTTTTCTCGTGCTTGGACCGTCGTCGGCTTGATTTTTGTTGGCACGGGCCAGAATGTTCCTCGCTTCTTCTTCCCTTGCTTTAGCGGAAGACATATGGGTAACTTATGGTAATTTAGCCAAAGACCAATGGACCCACTGAGTGAACATTGGTGACCCAATGAACGGTTTGAAGAATCCCTGGGTTTTCTCTGGATTTTCCTGTTGATGCCTAATTATTCCTGGGTGTTCTGACATATGTGGGTGACCTGTGGTTAAAATATGGGTACTTTAGCCAAAGACCAATGGGCCCACTGAATGAACATTGGTGACCCAATGCATGGTTTGAAGAATTCCTAGGTGTTTCCTGGTGATGCCCCATTTCCCTTGGGTGGTTTGACATATGTGGGTGACCTGTGGAAGACATATGGGTAACTTATGGTAACTTAGCCAAAGACCAATGGACCCACTGAGTGAACATTGGTGACCCAATGAATGGTTTGAAGAATCCCTGGGTGTTTCCTGGTGGTGCCTAATTATTCCTGGGTGTTCTGACATATGTGGGTGACCTGTGGAAAACATATGGGGATGTCTCAAAATAGGGGTGCCCACATGAGTGCCCCAAACTTTTTTCAGATGAAAAAAGAAAGTTTGGGGCACTCCATTTTGGAGACATTCCCATATGGGTAACTTATGGTAACTTAGCCAAAGGCCAATGGACCCACTGAATCCCACTGAGTGAACATTGGTGACCCAATGAATGGTTTGAAGAATCCCTGGTTTTTTTCTGGATTTTCCTGGTGATGCCTAATTATTCCTGGGTGTTCTGACATATGTGGGTGACCTGTGGTTAAAATATGGGTACTTTAGCCAAAGACCAATGGGCCCACTGAATGAACATTGGTGACCCAATGCATGGTTTGAAGAATTCCTAGGTGTTTCCTGGTGATGCCCAATTTTCCCTGGGTGGTTTGACATATGGAAGACATATGGGTAGCTTATGGTAACTTAGCCAAAGACCAATGGACCCACTGAGTGAACATTGGTGACCCAATGAACGGTTTGAAGAATCCCTGGGTTTTTTCTGGATTTTTCTGATGCCTAATTATTCCTGGGTGTTCTGACATATGTGGGTGACCTGTGGTTAAAATATGGGTACTTTAGCCTAAGACCAATGGGCCCGCTGAATGAACATTGGTGACCCAATGCATGGTTTGAAGAATTCCTAGGTGTTTCCTGGTGATGCCCAATTTCCCTTGGGTGGTTTGACATATGTGGGTGACCTGTGGAATAAATATGACAAATGAGTCAAGATAAATAATTTCCTTGGGGCCCCTGTGCTTTTCTATCTGGCATATCTTCTGACATCTTCTGACATTCTATCTGGCATATCTTCTGACATCTTCTGACATTCTTTCTGGCACTCTATCTGGCATATCTTCTGACATTCTATCTGGCATATCTTCTGACATTCTATCTGGCATATCTTCTGATATCTTCTGACAGTCTTTCTGGCACTCTATCTGGCATATCTTCTGACATTCTATCTGGCATATCTTCTGACATTCTATCTGGCATATCTTCTGATATCTTCTGACAGTCTTTCTGGCACTCTATCTGGCATATCTTCTGGCATTCTATCTGGCATATCTTCTGACATTCTATCTGGCATATCTTCTGATATCTTCTGACATTCTTTCTGGCACTCTATCTGGCATATCTTCTGACATTCTATCTGGCATATCTTCTGATATCTTCTGACATTCTTTCTGGCACTCTATCACGGGCGATGAAACAGCACATAACAAATCATAACAGCACATGTATGCACATGTCATCACCGCTCATCTATTGTCATATATTGCCATCTATTTTTCAAATAATGGTTCAAAATTTATCATAACTTATCATCTGAGTTTATATGCCCATCAATAGCTAATTATTCTGATGTATGTTGACACAAATTATTCCATACAAGTCTTGACATAGAATAGACCCCCTTAGCAGAATAATTAAAAATAGGCCCTAAAATTATTTATTCCAAATCAATTATTCCTGATGTGACATGCCCCCCTGGAATAATTACCCAAGGTAGGGGCCATATTATCATGTATCATATCATATTCGTACATATATATATATCATATATCGCCTATCATCTATAATTCATCATTTATCATTTACCACATCACATCACATCACATCACATCAATCATATCAATCACATCAATCATATCAATATCATATCAGATCATATATATATATGTGGCAGGGACCTTTGGGGTCTATTTCGTTCCTATGCATACAAGCATGTAATGCTATTGTTTTTCTTCTCCTTTGGTCGTTTAACTTGTTCATTTCTTTTGTGTCCACTAGAGTAGACTAAACTAGACTAAAACTAGACTACTGGACTAAACTAAACTAAACTGGATTAAACTAGACTCTACTAGACTCAACTTGACTAAACCAAGCTAAATTACACTAAAGTAGACTACAGTAGACTAAAGTAGCCTAAAGTAGATTGAAGTAGGCTAAAGCGGGCTAAACTACACTAAAATAGGCTAAAGTAGACTACCGTAGGCTAAACTAGACTAAAGTAGACTAAAGTAGACCAACGTAGACAAAGATTGGCTAAACTAGACTGAAACTGAGGAAACTGGATTAAGCTGGACTGAGCTTGTTTTTGGTTAAACTAGACTAGCTATATAATTAATGTTATATCTAAATGTTGATGCTTATGAAAATCAAACACTACGTGACACTAAATTAGGGTAAACTAGATTAAGCTAAGCTAAACTAGGCTAAATTAGGCTCAACTAGACAAAACTTGACTAAATGAAATTAGACTACACATCATGACGAAACTAGATTAAAACATAGTAGATTGCACAAAATTTGGCCAAAGTGGAGTAAAGAGAACTAAAGTACATTAAACTCAGTCAAACTAGATTCAATTAGATTATATAAACTGGACCAAATTGGATTAAACTGTGCTAAAATGGATTAAATTATAGTAACAAACTAGACTCAACTACACGAAAGTAGACTCAAAAAAGACTAAAGTGGACTAAACTTAACTAAACTAGTTGAGTCTAATTTGGCCTACTTTACTCTCATATAGTTTAGTTCAATTTAATCTAGGATGGTCTGGTTTAGTCTACTTTATTTAGCCTTTTTTAATATACCTTGTCTAATTCAGTCTAGTTTAGTGTTGCTTAGTCTTATTTAGTTCAAGTTGGCGTGGGTAAATTCTGTTTAGTCTGGTCTAGCCAAGCTTAGCCTAGTTTAGTCCAGCTTTGCCCAGTTCAGTCTGGTCTAGTCTAATTTCGTTTAGTCTAGTTTAGCCGAAGTTAGGTTAGTCCAGTTGAGCATAGTTTAGTCTACTTTAGGCTACTTTAGGCTAGTTTAGCACGCTCTAGTCTACTTCAGTCTACTTTAGGCTACTTTAGTCTTTAGCCTACTTGAGTCTAGTTTAGTCTGTTTAGTCTACGTTAGTCTGCTTTAGTGTAGTTTAGCCTAGTTGATTCTAGTTTGGGTTAGTTTTGTTTTATTTAATTCAGCTTAGTTGAACTTAGTCCAGGTGTAGATTTAGATGCAGGTGGTTTTGCTTACTCTAGTTTAATCTGGTTTAGTCTAGTTTAGTCCATTTTAATCTAATCTAATCTAGTTTGGTCTAGTTTAGTCTAGTTTGGTCCAATTTAATCTACTTTAGTCTACTTTAGCGCATTGTTTACTCTAGTCTATCTAGTTTACATAATAGAATTTAATCTGGTCTAGCTTAGTCGATTTTAGTCTGGTTTAGTCTTGTTTAGTCTAATTTAATTTAGTTTAGTGTAGTTTTAGCCCAGTTGAATTTGTTTTGCCTAATTGAATCTAGTTTAACCTAGTTTAATCTAATTTACTCTAATATAATCCAATTATTATCTAACTTAATCTTTGTTATCCTAAATGTATAATCTAAGTTCGTCCAAAAT